TTTAAGAGTTTTTAAGAGTTTAAGAGTTTTAAGAGTTTTAGCCAAATGTTTTATAATATAGTATAGATATAAATATTTCATTTTAGAGATACACAATGTCAATTAAAACTGTATAAGCCACAGGGACCAAACATGTAATTCACTTTTGTTAATATTCCTCTTTAATTATATCAATTACATATATCTAAATTTTGGGTTTTCATAACTGATCCAATCGGTTTTTTATTCAGTAAGATTCATCGTATCAAACCAACAAGTTTGTATCAGGTTTTTTATACATATTTATTACATAACATAATAAAATCTAAAATTTAACTTTTGATTTGCAAACAGAAGTTGAATTGTTGTAACGAATATTAATAGAAATATCACACGAACAAAAAGTCGTGGCCTTCTTTTTGAAGACTTTCAAAACAACTGCTTTCCCTTTTAATGTTGTCGTTGAAGTAAAATTCAAAACTTTAGTTCCCAAATCCTTTGAAAAATCTGGATTTCCAATCAACCGCTTACCGACCACTAAAACTGTCATGCTAACATCGTGTTGTCCCCGAGCCGGGATTGAGTCTTCAATTATTGGTGCCTCAGCCACCAAATCTCCACGGTAAGTCAAATAAGTCGTACTGTTCCGATAATTAAATCCTCCATAATTGGGATTTTTAATCGTGATAAGTACACCTAACGTAGCGTTTAGATCAGTAAGATCGCCCAGGTTTTGAGAGAAGGAGTCGAGCGTGACGCTTTGAGTCGTGATTTTGGGTTGTTTCGGCTTGAAAAGGGTGTAGTAGAGTGTGATTGCGGTGACGAGAATGATTATCAAGAGAACAACCGTTACTGAGCAAAATATCTTTAAGGGTCGACGAGATTTAGCCATGATATCCGTTTTTTGTTTTGTTAACTAAAACCCAAGATTTCGATATTTGTAGATTTTAAGATCATTGTATCATCAGAAACCATAAAGAAAGAGGCCAAGATTGTGATGGTAACAAAGTTACTAGTCGTTTCGTTGTATAATTTATTGATAAAAACAATGAAACGTATTATTTTTTGTGTTCTTTATCGTTTTTACTTACATTGGAATCAAAGTGCCTTCACTTTTGTCTCGAGTAGTTGTAGATTTCAAAGAAAACGACAAATCCATATGTCGTGTGTTCAATTAACGTGTTAATCTTATAATATTCATATAATATTTATATACGACATTGTCTTTTTCTAATACCGTTCAAAGCCTTTAATTTGAATTAGATGTCTCTTTCAGTTGATTGTTAGAACCATGTTGTCCTATCAGAGGACTTATAAAATACATAAAAAAAACCGCTACAAACCCGTATTCAATTATAACGATTTATGGTTGCATGATACCTACATACATCTTGTTCGTGTCATTCGGAAACTGATGAATCACACAATCGAAGTTTGCAAAGTACAACGTATTCGATCGAAATACAGAAATTACAAAAGTTCGATTAAAGACCAGAAAAATACAATAGGTAATTAATTAACAACAAATTTGGATAATATTCAACCATAATTGAGGCGAAAAATGTCATTTTGCACATAGAAACTTCCTTGCAATGTGGGCATCAAATGAAACATCTGCAAAATTTGCAATATCAATTAAATTCAAGGCGAAAAATGTGAATTTGAGGTATAATATATAACTCAAATTTGATAAACGAGTGTCGAGCCTCGAGCTTAAGCCCTACTTTGAAAATGGCATTCGAGCTCGAGTCTTTTATTATATAGTCCCAACTGAGCTCAAAATAACCTACTATTCGACTCGATTAAGCTCATTAGCACCACTAATTGTAAGAATGTAAATACTAATCTTTATACGATTCTAATGGTTTTGCTGTGAGAGAGAGAGAGAGAGAGAGAGAGACCTGGCTAAACCTGAGAGGGTGTTCTTCACCGGCAAGTCGGAGGCTGCCGCTAACGAACACCACGATGCCGCCAGCAGAGGAGGACGGCTGGGTGTCGATGGTGCTGATGAGGTGATGGCATTTATCAAAGGGCAAATGATTAAGCTTGAAACAGATATGATCAACACCTTGAAGTCTTTGACCTTCAAAAGTCAACATGGAGGATTGATGGTAGAGAGAAGAAAGTGATGATCTTTGAGTATCAAAAAGATGATAATAATGTTCCACAAATGCCCTTCCCACCATTTCCACCTGTTCTTCCATATTCAGGTTTGCTTAATTGAAAGGGAAGAAGATGAAGATGATTATATATACATATACATATACGTATACATTTACATATACATATAGAAGGGAAGGGGAAATCATTAATGGAATATAAGCTGCTGCAATGCCACGCAAAGTTAATTGCTCAAAGCATCACACACTTTTTGCTTTTCTTTTTTCAAATATATAAAAAGATTTGTTAATCAAAAGTATAAGAAATAAGAAATTAGATCTGCAATCAAGAACAATATTCTATCCTACAAAACTTGACCCAACTCAAAGATCTGACAAATTCAAGATCCTTATAAAAGATTAATTCTAGATATAAGATTTATAAAGGTTCCTGCATATGTATACATATATATATATATATATATATATATATTGGTTTTATGGTTTGTGTCTAGCTAATATAGGAGTCCAACACTGCAAAAGAGAGTGAAGGCCTCATGATGGTAGTTCGGATATGTGAAACCCTTTTTGAATTATCTTTGAAAGAGCCCTTCTGTTCCAACATATATTGAAGTAGAAAGGTCCATCTCTAGCAAAAGTGGAACTTTAACACACCCCTCCAATGGAGGCTAGACAGAGACAAATGTCTCAGGAACAGATGTCCGAGAGGTAGACATGGACTCTCATAACATGTGAGAATGTATGGAAGCTAGTAAAATTATTGCTCACTGGCTCTTCTAAAAGGGGATTCGAAGTGGTTTCACACATTCTTAACATGTGATCAGAGTCGGGGTCTAGCACCACCTAAGGACTTGTACTCTTTCGCCTCCATTCTAGGGGAACCTTCTAGCCTATGTTTAAGGGTATTGTTGGAAATGGACCATGAAATCCTCTCCTCTTTGAGAGGGCTTTTTAAGAGAATTTTAAAAGTGTTTCACATATCCAAACAATGATATATTACAATCCCAACAAGACAACTGGTTCAAAGGAGCAACAATCGAACAAATTACGAGACATTCGAGTTAATTAGAGAACATTGAGACTGACCAAACCATAGATACTTTTGTGTTGAATTCTATAATGAAGTTCAATTATCATGGATTATAACAGAAAACTAGCCAACAAGATGTTCTTTACCAATCAAGGAAGAACAATTCACAACTTCCAGTTTCAGCATATTCCCCATACTACAAATACAGATTCAAAAAGCTAGCAACAGTTGAATCTTGATTGAGAAACAAGAATTCATCAAAGAAATTAACAAGCTCTGAACCCAGAATTTTTGATGAAATATTATGTGGAATGCATAATCAAGCTATATGCAGCCATGGTTATTACATGAAATTCATAAACAGATAACTAACCAAGAGATGGATCATGTATACCAACTTGAAGGCAAATAAGCATAAACAGCATACCCAGTTTTCCAGTGATTCAAGATCACAACTTCCCTCACTGCCCAAAACGAAACAATCAGAGCACTAATCATGGTTGCCCTCTGTACCATCGAATCCTTCATTTTAACAATAATCCGAGTTATGAAAGCTAATAACAGGCCTACAATGGTGAACAAAAAGCCAACAGATATACACTCAAAACCGAACTGCATCCCGTTCCCTTTATAGAAGAAAATTGCCTTATTTGGATCCTTTCGATCCACAATAAACAAGGGTATTCTGCGAATCAAGATGAACATAGAACCCGAAACACTGAAGAAGTAAACAAACAGAGTACCAAACATCCAAACCCTCTTATTATGAAATAGAGTGTTGCCTGCTAATACTTTTCTTGTCATGAATGGCATCCATATCAAGAACCCGGTAATTAAGAACCCTAATTGGGTTTTTGAAAGAATTGGGGGATGGTGGATTTTGCCGATTGTTATTCCAGTTTTGAATTCGATAAATTCCGCCATGGATTCGGCTAAAGTAGAGTACTCTCCGACTTCCATGGGGATTGAATCGGAATTTGAAACGTTGGCATCAGGGGGGACGATCCGAACGTTGGGTAATGACTGTACACCAAATCGGAGGAATTCCTTTTGGGATTCAGTGAATTCGATATCACAGAAGAAGATTTTAGAGAGCGATGAGGAGTGGTTGTTGATTAAGAAGGACTTGGCGATGAGGTCAAATTCGGCTTTGATGGATTTGAGATTCGATTCTGGTTTATGACGGAGTGGGATAGCATCGAAGAAGATGATCAAATAAAAGGATCTGTCGCCGGAACTGAAGATCCGATGAATGAGAGTATCGTTCAGGTGGATGACGCCGGACGGGAAGTGGGATTGGAGAGAGTAGAGGTCGGAAACTATACCGGCGGTGAAGGACGAAGCTGTAGAGGTCAAAATGGTTAAAATCAAAAGTAGAATGAGAGATGATTTTGGAGAAATCGCCATTTTTGGATCTGATGAGAGGTTTCGTAGGGTTTTTGTTGTGAAGATGAAGAAGACGATGGTCGATGAGTTGCATGGTTATGGGGGTATATTTAGGGTTTCTTGATTCAGCCAATCAAACACCGCCACGTAATCATTCAATTACTTGTTAAAAAGAAGAAATAAGAAAAAAAGGTTTTGACAGCTGTGGGATTTGAACCCACGCCCTTTCGGACCAGAGCCTAAATCTGGCGCCTTAGACCACTCGGCCAAACTGTCTTATGATGTCCAATTAAACTGCTTCATTCTTTTATTGCTAAAATAAATAAATATATACATATAAAAATATATATATATATATACATATAACATGCATGAATAAGGGTTACTTTTTAATTTTAATAAATACAATTTATTATGTTAAATGTACAAATTGTAAAGCTGTTTAGCATCCAACTGTCACACGTCGTGTATATTCCTTTATTTCAAGATTCAATTCTGGTTTAAAAATATTTGTGTACACGCTTAAAAACGTTACTTGTAATCTATTAGTCTCTACCACGCCCCTTAAATTATCTCTCTAATCCTGCCAGAATCAAACCTACACCCACGTCCAAAAACCCTTCTTCCACAGTGGAATGCCCCATTGCTACTTCATATGTTGGATAATTTTCGATCACGGTATTATCTCTATGCTCACTCTATCTCTTGATTTTGGCTACGCAATGCGTCTTCTTTTCTAGTATCAAATTCCAACTACATTGCTCATGTAACTGGTTATGTATGATCTTAATTATGTTTGTTCTTTGTTATTAGAGTGCATTGGTGAATCTTTTATATGTCGATAGGGTTTGAAGGGCAAAGCTAAGGTATCCGATGAGACGAAAGCTATCATGCTTTAGTTTCTGGTGGAATAAATGGGTGATGAAATCCCGAAACTCAAAAAGGTCTCGACAACTCTTTCCCTTCTGTATTGTTTCTCTTTTTGCACCATTTCCTTCTTAAGGTGCCTATTTCTTCCCGGCAAAAACACATATATTCTTCTACAAAGAAAATCTTGAAATAACCACCCACCACCATTGACTACCACTGATTACCATCCAAAACTATTAACCACCACTGATTACCACCCAAAACTATTGACCACCATCACAAATCCAAACCCAAATGAGAGGTATTTAAAATTCTAAATCAAACACAAAATACCAACTCAAAAATCTGAACTATATATTAACACAAACAATCTAAGACATAAAAACTCTTGTCACATCATTCAAAAACATTATGAGACAAACCCTAAAATCAATACCACAAAAACCTAAATCAAATCAAACAAAAACCTAAGTCATATGAAAATGCAGATGAAGATCGACACAGAGAGTAGTCGAAGTGGTCCCTCTCTCGATCATAAAAAAAAAAAAAAAAAAACTTTTTATTTAACAAAACAATAACGATCATTAAATATTAATAAAATAGCAAGATTTTAAAAAAAAAATCAAAACATTACATTGCTTTACGAAACTAGGGACAAAATAGTAACTTTACATGATTGGTGTATGTCCTTTATGAACATGTGGGCCAAAAACAAGTAATAAAAAACAAAAAGATAACATTTTTTAAGCATCTTTTCAGGTTAGAATCGTATGAAAATAACAGTTATGATAAAAACAATTATGAGTATTTGGATAAATTGACATTATTATCTGACTTCATCTCCTTTCTGCTATATTTATTTTACCTTTAATTATCTTTATATGTATATTTATTTTACCTTTAATTATCTACATTTATTTTAAGATAAATTAAAATAGTAATATAGACAATTATGGAGACGGATGAAATACATAAATGAGATTTATATGGGAAAAAAAAGGATTCATTTAATGTGATATTTTGGTTGTATAACATCCACAATGAAGATTTATGTTATTGTTCTTCTTGGGTTTTTACAAGAACCTCCACTGTGGGATAAAAGTTTTTGTCCAGTCACAAGTTCTTATTAGAACCCAGATGTTTGAACAAGACTTGGGTTCTTATATACATTTCTTTTTTGTTATTACTTTTTCTATTTTTTAACTATTTTTTTTAATAAATCTATAAAACATACAAGTTAAAATTGATAAAAAAATGTAAATTAATTATTATAAAATAATTTTTTTAATTTTGATTTTTTGTTTCTTGAAATTTTTTGTACAAGTTTTTATATTAATAAGTTTAAATTTGAATTMTCTCGGTACATTATTATGTTTAGATTATTTTTCATATACTTGTATGTATAATTAATTAATTTGTAAATCATAAATTAATAATTGTAAATATCTTTTCTATTTTAAAAGGATATTATACATACATGGATAATATGATAATTGAAGATGAAAGGCAGGGGCGAATAGCCATAAGTAGGGGTGCTCACCGCCCGGGTTGATCGGTTTGGAGCCGTTTTAACAACCCAACTCAATGTTGAGGGTTTGAAAATTTTCAACCGAACCCAACTCAAACAAAAGTTCAACCCAACCCAACCCGTTCGGATTGATCGGGTTGTGTTTAAACAATGTAAAATCACATAAAAATAAAGAAAACTTTCCTTTGAAATACGACCGACCATTCAAGATAATATGCAAGTTCATCAAATATTTAGATATTACAATAAAAATGTTTAAACCAAATGATAATACATCAATCAACAACAATAGTTTTAGATGTTTTCCAACCCCGATGCTTTCGCTTTCTTGACGTTGAGGTTGGTCATGTCATGATTGTCATCTACAATTCAAAGCTAAAGTTAAGGTCGGGTTCATCGGGTTGTCGGGTTGGTCGGGTTTTTTTGGGCCTGACCCGATTCCAACCCAATGAGGTCGAGTTGGCTAATTTTTTTATCGATCATGCATCGGGCTACCTCGGGTTGGGTTTTTTTTTTCAATTCGGGTTGGGTTGGTCGGGTTCATCGGGTTTTTGAGCATCCCTAGCCATAAGGGCCTTGGCTCCTGGGCTTTTTTTTAGATAGAGTAAGGATCTCCAGTCCATTAAGGTTTTAAGTATAAAATTCTTTTGAGCCCCTCCACTATTGTTGATCCAGTCCATTTGTGTTCCGCCTCTGATAAAAGATGACAATGTCGATCCATTGGATCGATGAAGAGATAGATAATCCAACACATATATTTCAAGATTTTATCTGTGAATTCTAAGAATATTTTCAATGAAATTCTGAGATGCGTTCAAATGAAGTTTATCATCAACTCTGCTTTAACTTGGTTGATCATATTTAGTTGAATTGAAATTACGAGTAATTTATATTATTATTTTATTATTATTATTTAGTGTTAATAATATTTATGTAATTTTGTAATTTGTTTAATTGTAAATTATATTATTATTTAATTTCCTTTTTGAATTATTTATTTATGTATATATATCCAACTGGCATGTCGGGGGAGCAATATGAAATTATTACACCGACACTACAGAAGGTTGAGCACGTGACCTGCGCATGTGATTAGAAGAGGAATTTTGCCAACATGCCTACATGTTTCATTTTGGGTAAAACAATTTTGCCTTTTTTAATATTTAACTCAATTTAATGAGTAAATTACAGTTTTAGTCCTTGTGGTTTGTTAATAGTTTTGATTTTTGTTCTTATGGTTTAGAAATTACAATTTTGACTCTTATAGTTTGTAATTTATTACTATTTTCATCCCTGGACTAATCCCAATCTTTTAAGTATAAGGGACTGAAACAGTACAGACTTGTAAACCGTAAGGACCAAAACTGTAAATTCTAAATTATAAATCATAAGAATAAAAATAAAAATAAAAATAACAACGAATCACAAATTATAAGGACTTTTTAACTCGTTAAAGATATAACCCCATCCCGATAAAGATCCAGCTCATTAAAACGAGATCTATTAAAAACACCCGCTAACAGAAACAAAATGTGTAATTTATTGAGGGCAGACCCACATGGAATGAGACGGTGGCACAAACTAATGTTTTCATGGTTCTGTCCTAAGGGGGAAAATAATGTTCCTGAAGGGTGCCACTGTATTTTGAAACTTAAAAACTTTAGTATAAAACTTTAATGACCAAGATGGTAAATATTTCTGTCTTTGTACAAAAGGCTCAAGTTTGAGTCTCATGGTTGTCAAATTTGTTGCTGTTAACTTAAATTTTGGTATTCTTTTTAAGGCGAATGATCGTGTGAGAGAGATAGAGTTAAGACGAGAAGGGTAAGAAGGTATCTAGACTCGTTGAACACATTTAATCTCAAATCCACTCAAGAATCGCGTTTGATACGAGAATTGATCCGGTGCTTCTCGGTACATCTCATCCTCATGTACAGCCACGGATGGAGATCGCTTCTTACGCTTCTCACATTATCTCTCATTCTCACCAGAACCCAACCCTTCTTTTCAAAACCTGTTTCGTTTTTATAAATATATATATAAACCAAACTCGAACATGAGTCTTTTCTATACAAAAACGAACAACCAATCAACATATCCATACTAATTTAAAAAAAAAAACAATTTAATACTTTTTTACAGTCAAATTGTCGGGTTGTTTTCCTCTGTATTAAAATTGACATAATTAACCACAAGGGTAGTGCCTGATTGGTTTAAGCTTGGCTCCAAAGGTCAAAAATACCAGGAGGTCTCAGGTTCATATCCAAGGAGGAATGAAAAAATCGTCTTGTGGCCACGGAGGTTCAAATACGGTGACTTCGGGTTATATATAAAGTAGATGGTTGCCTTAAGATTAGTCGGCTTACATAACGGGTTACATATCCAAGTTAATAAAAAATTTTGACATAATTGTTTGAGAAAAAAACAAAAAAAAAAACCAACAATGTCACGTTCTTTGATGTAACATGGTGACCTTATGACTTATACTGAGTGGCAGCCTGGATCCTCTGCCCACTTTCTTTTTATTTTTTATTTTTTATTTTTTTTATTCTTTAATTATATAAATATATATATATAGATATATATATATATATATATATAGTATATGTATGTATATAAAGGTGTGAGAGAAGTTGTGAGTAGGATTAATCCACCAAAATCAATAGAATGGAGAAGAAAGCATCAAGTTCTTCAATGGGAATGGGAATGGGAATGGGAATGGGAATGGGTATGATCTGGTGCTTCCTTGTGTATATAGCAATATCTACAACCACTTGTTCTGCTGCACCAAAATCTTCATTTGATGATAACTTCAGCATCATGTGGTCCGAGAATCATTTCAAAACCTCTGAAGATGGTCAGATCTGGGATCTTTCCCTGGACAACGATACAGGTAATCATCCTTTACTTTTATGGCGTTGGAATTTGAAGGTCAATTTAGTAAATTTCATAAATTAACAAAATTACGTATTTATCCATTATGCTTGTCCTTTTTCTGTATAAAGTAAAAGGATGGTATGGTAATTGTGTCAACATCTATGAGAATCTCATTCTTCAATATCTTCCAATGTCAAAATTACATATATACCCATTTTAAGTGTTCGAATAAAATTGCTAAAAGTTATTACGAGAAGTGTAAGAAAAGATCTTCATCCTTAGATTAATCCTAATTAAATGTCAATACTAATGAGGTGCACCAAGGTGTGCTGGATTAATTTCCTTCTAAAACGTAATTCATGGGAGGGCATGAGATTAAAAGTGTTCAGATCTCTTCTTATCAACACCGAGAGTTGTTGATAATTCAAAACTTCTCTCTTTAAAATCCCTGATCCTCGTAAATGTTTGATTTTACGGTTGTTTCTTAAATCGTGTTTTGATCTGCAATGCAGACGATTCATGTCGATTTCTTTAAGTCGAAGCAATTGGTTTGATGGGTTGTTATAAACAGGTTGTGGGTTTAAAACAAAGCAGAAATACCGATTCGGGTGGTTCAGTATGAAGTTGAAGTTGGTCGGAGGCGATTCCGCCGGAGTCGTCACTGCTTATTACGTACGTTTTTTTTCTTTTGAATCGTCGACTACTTAAGTCTAACATCTACAATTATCACTTTTTTTTGTTTGCAACGAGGTCTTCACGAAAACAACTTTTATATTGTGTTTATTTGGTTTCCTTTTGCAATGGTGTCGTCACGAAAACAATATTTGTCGTTTTGTACTATACCCTTTGTAGCAGACGAACTGTTTGTTTTTCGAGTAAGATATATTGTGTTTATTTGGTTTCGTTAAATATCGTTGACTTTTTAAAGTCGATATCTATGATTATTCATCTATTGTTTTACAAGGGGTCCTTATGAAAACAACCTCTATACTGTACCCCTTGTAGTAGAGGAAAAGTCTGTGTACATCGAGTTCTCACACTCCAGTATCGAGTGAGATATACTATGTTCATTTGGTTTGGTTTTATATGTTTACAGATGTGTACGGAGGATGGGGCAGGACCGACAAGAGATGAGCTCGACTTCGAGTTCTTGGGGAACAGAAGTGGCGAACCGTATCTCATCCAGACCAATATCTACAAGAATGGGACCGGAAACAGAGAGATGAGACACCAGCTCTGGTTCGATCCCACTCTTGATTACCACACATATTCCATCTTATGGAATTCCCATCAAATCATGTAACTCATCCTTCCCATTATATACGTTGGAATACCATATCAGTTAGACTTTACTTTCTTTTTGATATATGTTGGAACTGTCATTCCCTTTCCAGGGATTCTTTTGGAAAGTAATCTGATGAGGTTCCACATATCTCACAATATGTCCCTCACTTCAAAACAATGACTAATCATTTGTGATTCAAATGGAAACAGATTCTTTGTCGATAGAGTTCCCGTGAGAGTGTTCAAGAACGCCGACTACGAAAACGACTTCTTCCCGAATCAAAAACCGATGTACTTGTTCTCGAGCATATGGAATGCAGACGACTGGGCCACACGAGGTGGTCTTGAGAAGACCGATTGGAAAAAGGCGCCGTTTGTTTCTTCGTATAAAGATTTTACAGTCGACGCGTGTCAGTGGAAAGACCCGTATCCCGACTGCGTTTCAACCACGACCGAACATTGGTGGGACCAGTACGACGCGTGGCATCTTACGAAAGACCAGAAATTGGATTTTGCTTGGGTTGAGAGAAACTTGGTGATATATGATTATTGCAAGGATACCAAGAGGTTTCCTAAATTGCCTGAAGAATGCTCATTGAGTCCATGGGACTAAGATGATCCCATTTTTGGAGTTCGTAATGTAATATTTGGTTTGATTTATTCATATTTATATAATTTTGTCGTAACCGTATAGTAAAAACCGATCAGATCAAATCATCTTTCTATAAAGGGAATGACACCGACTTATCAAGTAGATTCACCATACTGGTCTCACCACCATCATGGAGGTAAATTGCGTGTTTCAGTGACAGGCAGATGGTGCTTGAAGTCCGAACTCCAAACCTCTTTGTAGGGGAGAAAAAGAAAACCAGATGTTTTCTAAACTTTTTAGAAGGGAAAGAAAATGGTTCTAGGAATAGGAAGGAAAATAACATTTATTTTTGTTGGGTCATTGACCAGCATCTTCCTAAATCGAAACGTGACATTGACTGCTACGTTATAAGCATGTTTGATTTGGTTTTTTAGACTTGTGTTACTCGAATACATAAGAATTCCAGGTCCCCTAAGGGAAACAATTAGAGTTGTTCATGGGCGAAACGACCCGTTAGACCCTGCCCATCTAGCCCGCTAGAATTAAGACCTGGACAACCATTATCGAGAAAATGGACGGGCCCGGCTTTATTCATTAAAATTAACGGACGGACATGGGCAATGTAAAAATAAATATGAACAAGCCCATCCAACCCGCTTATATTTTATAATTAATATTTTTTTACCATTAAATATGGAGCCTGGAAATGTGAATATTAATATTTTACATAAAAAATATAAATGCATTATTGATTTTATGAAGTCTGCCTTTTGTTTTCATTCCTTTTTCCACTTATTGAAATTCATGTGTTACTTTAGTTGCTTAAAATTTTAATTGCAATGGTGTTTATCCTTTACTTTTTGGTTCCACATTTGTTAATTAATTGCTAGTCATCAAGTCTATAAATTTATAAGAGTTACACTTTTTAGGCCCGTTAGTATGTGCCTCTGTGGGCAAGCCCGACCCGTTTACAGAGCGGGAATGGCAAGTTGTCAAGCCAGCCAAAAAGGGCTTAAGTTTACAGTATTCGGCCCGTTGGACAAAAAAACAAGTTAAGCCCGGCCTGCAAATGATAACCTCTAGAAACAATGTACTTGTCCGAGTTCCAAGCAGTCGGTAAGAAAAGATACTTCGAAAATAATAAGATTAGTCTTGAAGAACACTGATAAATTACAATTAACCACCATGAAAGCAAGATCATAAAGGGTTTATAACTCCGCAAAACAAGCATATAACAAACAACAAGACCAGCAAACGCGAATATGAGGAGGAGAAACAAACAGATAAACCAGAAACAGAGAGTAAAGTATCACCGAAACATACGAGTTGCAAGGATAACGTGATCAAATCACCACCACCATTCAAAAACCATGAATCTTGATGCGATCTTTCTTCACGATGCCAGCCTGGTTTTAGAAAGAGATTAACCCCGACAAGTAAGAAGAAGCACAACCCAAACGCGGACATTGGTACAGCATAAAGAATAGGAAGAATCATACTAAAGGCCTTTGGCCTATTGCGGTTCAAACCTCACCAAAAGGTGAGAATGATATGTGAGTTCATTTACCGTATGTAAATATTATATATGGTTCAAAAAGAAAAGAATCATTACTTGAACAAGGAAGGTCGACACGTTTTTCCTCTGATCGCCTTGAAGTTGGATGACCTGCGTCACAAGAACAATTCATTAGGACAACATATCTGCATCTGCGGTTTCTCATTCATCAAGAATCAATTTCAAATACGTTTCAAAACGCAAAATAAGATAATCTTGAGGATCCAAAAATAGGTACTCCCTCTGTCCAAAAATAAATGTCCACAATTAAAAAAAACACAATTTTAGAAGTAGGTAATTACTACCCTTTTTAATTAAGCAAGTGACAATTTTACCCTTAAGTAGGCAACTGCTTTTGAAAGTTTAATTCCGGACGAACTAAAATAAAAATGTAAACACCTATTTTTGGACCGAGGAAGTATCATGGTAATTTGTAATGGTGAGAACGAAAATGTATGTAACTATTAGTTTAAAAACATGACGATAAATGACTTTTTGTAATTTTCATGGGACATTTTAAGAAGGAAAAAAAAGAGCAAATAACAGCTCCACTCTTTGGGATAGTGGTCAGGTATGTGTACGTCCCACCCCATAACCCACCCACCTCATATGCTGCGCTCATTTGGTTTGGTTTACCAGCCTACTTTAAGTAGTTTACCTGAATAAAGGCCAATGATTGCTAACCAACCTGACAAATTTCAAAATTGATGATAAAACCATTATGATGCTGAGATTAGCCATGGCCGTGCATCAAGCATTTCCAAGCAATGGCAGACGCAAGACCAGTATAGCAGACTAGGGATGAGGACCAAGACGGGAGGAAGGAAGCTGGAGAGGTAGAGGGTTTAGTGAGTCAGTAGGTTACCAGGGCCCTAAGACTAAGTGTTGCTTACTCAGTTACTCATATCTAGCTTCTCATTTGTTTGGTTTGGTTTATTCGCTGGCCTTCTTATCCATCATGTCCAAATGCACAAAACATCAAACCGGGCTACCAAATCAAGAAATGGGTAATTAGCCCATAAATTGTGATTGCATGATATTGCCTCATCTATTGCCTTGCATCTCTAGATTATAAACTTTATAATAGATAGGGTATTAGAAATAGTTACTACCTGGCCAAGCTCTGGATCTTGAACAACAGTACCATTGCAGCAAAACTCCTTTTTAAGGTCCTTGAGTATTTTATTGTAGCTGAAGTCTTTCTTCAACCCTTGAACAGTGGTCAGGCTTTTCCTACCATTTCGCTGCTGTATACGTATATGAACATATTCTTTTGACCCAGCACTCGAGTCCTCAGCATTTGCCTCAGCGAATGGATCTGTCAAAATACCAATATAGAAACGTTAGGGAAAACTCTTGATTCGGGACAAATATATGACAAATGAATCTACGATGACTGTTAACTGCCAATTACTGCTTTTTTCCAAAGTGAACCCATAAAAAAATGTTGCAGTTTAAGTTTAACATGTCTTGTATAACATGTTTTTTTAATCTTTTCCAAATGAACCTTTAGTTTAAAGCATTCAACAATTTTCAACCAAACACCTGTATTAATCACAACATTTTTTTGAACCCTGAAAATTTCAGAAGAAAAAAAGATTCTTTCAGGCCCTCACGTTGACCGTGTTCCCTTTTATCTTCCGTTGATACCAAAACTATTTAATTCATTTCACAGAAATAGATGTTTAAAACTAAAACTGATCGCTCAACATTTAAAGTACCTATCCCAGTTAAAGTTCATGCTCACAGACGAAAATTGTAATATCGAATGCAAAATGGAACAAAGCATGTCAAATCAATTTTTGTGAGACGTTTTGTTTTTTAGGATGAGAAATTTCTCATGTTCACGGTACATTTCACCACATCAGTTCTTGTGTTATTTTAGGTTTATTTTAACGTAATGTAAAAGGTATACAGCAGTCGACAAATTTTCAGCAACAATGATTAAAATCAACCTGCTTTTATCTTATAGGACATCAGTTTTTGGAGTTGAAGAATTTTCAGCAATTGCATTTTTATTGGAGCCCATAAACACTCAACCCGCTTTATCTTACAGGATCTCAGTTTTTTTTTTCTTTCGTCTACTTTCCTCCATATTTGTTTTCTCCATATAGTGAAAACTCATTTGCCACAATCCATGGACATAGCCTTATTGGGCGAACCACATTAATCTTTATATTCTCTCAGTCTGTGACTATTTATTTGATTACCCAAACAATGCAAATTTCAGTTTACTTCATTTTTTTAGTCCTGAATAATTTTAAAGCGAAGATCAAGCATGAAAGATAATTAAAAAAAATCCCAAGTGTAGTGTATCATGAACAAGAGACGAGAGAACTGCTGCAAGATTTAAGATTAGAAAGAGCAAGGACAAACATACCGAAGGCAGTTGGAATCTGGAGGTCAATCTCAGACATGAAATTTGAGTACTAGAATTGGAGGCAAGAACAAGCAAGAAAATATTCTTCTTTGTTCTTCACCAAAATGCAAACTGAAATGGAAGCTATAAATCAGCTGCTAGTTACTTTAAGTAAATAGTATAGAAAAATATACAACACACTACAAGTAAAAAACACATCATAAGTTCTTTAACAAAATACACAAATATAAGTCTATAACAGAGGTTCAAACTATCCTCTACTAATGGCCTACAGATCCTGGATACGATTTCCAATTTCTTTTACCAATAATCACTCAAGTCGTGCATTAAACATTTGGTAGCGGTTGAAATCTTGTATATTGACAATTAATCATCTTTTTTCACTTGATATAACACATGATTAGAGGTTCTTACACAGTTAAAGATAAAGCGTTTGCAAAACAGGCATATCTATTAGTCAAACCTAACTCAAAGTTTTCTCATTGATACATTTAAGTAACAACCTGGTGGAATGATGTTGGAGCTAAACTTTACAAAAAAAGGGTGAGGACTACTAGTCAAACGTCTAGAATCGCCATCAATAACGACTCCAATGAGAAAATAGTTACTCCCCATGAAAATGGCAATGTTTGACCAGATCAATGCAAAAAATAAAAGAAAACAAATCAATAGCATCAACAAGTAGTAAGGATGATGATTGGCAAATGGGTAATCTAACTTTCAATTTTGTCAAGAAAAGAGATTTTGCTATTTCCATGTGATATCCTAAAACATGGGAAGAGGACCACAATTTTAACTTAGAAACTAGTCAAAGATAGAAATCTTGAGATTTCTAGGGGCAGTACCAAATTGAACATTGTTACAGTTTTCATAAGTTGGAGGGCTTAGGTGATTCAACTACATGTTTTTTCAATCATTCACCACAATCAACTTACTAAACTACTTTTCTTTTGCAACAATCGGATTCTTCCCCCAACTAAAGAAGAGATCTTGGCCGAATTGCCACATAAGAAATCTAGCATGATTTTGAAAAGAAATATCTCACTTATTTCTCGAGAAGATATGGGAAACATGTTCAGATGCCATGATTCAATTCTCTGTTCTAGTATTAAGCGAATGGGTATACCTATTAATTCAGTATTACTTGTCAATCCCAGTCCACACTTAAAATCTATACCACCCAATCATCTTGAAAGACCTGATCATACCCCCCCCCCCCCCCAATTTTCTCTTCCCCAACGACATCCAAAAAGTAACACCCACCACTTCAAATTAAAGATCACCCACAGAAAGGGAAGAAACCAAAGGTAAACTTAAGCCCACAACAGGATGATTGAGTCAGGTAACTCCGGTGAACAACTCCAAAGAAACAACCCCTTCATCAATAACAGTTCTTTCTAATACTATTGAGAAAATACTGCAGATTGGAATTCTAAATATCAATCTAACTTTAAAAAACTAAAAATTAATCCTAAAGTCAAGGTCACTAGGTTAAACTCCATGAACAAGAACCAGCTTTTTGTTACACTAGTACAAAACTGTAAAAAAGATATCCATAATCACAGCAAAAACACATAAACGAAAGAATCACCCTAACTGATCAATTTAATTTTGTCCAATAAACGGCCATAGCATGAGTAGCATCAAAAGAATTAATCAGATTACACCATTAGATCTAAACATATACGTAATCAGTAACCAATATCATCATCAAATCGTAACAAAAATCCAGAAACAAACAATACGCAGATCGGATCGAATCGAACCAAATCGAATCAAATGAAAAAGAAACGTTACCTGTTGATTGGAAATTATATTAAAATCAAGAGCTTGTTGGAGAGATGGATAAGGGTGTGAGAGAAGAGCTTTGAGACTAGAAAACGAGTCTTTCAGGTGAGGGGATCCCCCCACCAACAGGCAACAGCTGTTACCCGTTTCACACGCCAAGGGTATTATTGTAAATTCACCTCTCGGGTTGTTATCCATTCGTCCTCTAAAGAAAATGTGACATATTTATGGGTCCAAAAGAAATCATATATAAACATTAAATAATCAAGTTTTTAAATTTTTAATTAAAAATTTATTACGCTATCTTATTTTGAATGATCAAGTTTTTTTCAATAAAATCAATCATTGAACTTTTAAAAATTGGTTACTTACATCATTTTAATTAAAAAATGCATGTAATCCGACTAAAAAGGTTTTAAAGTAAAACTAATTGTAATCCCCTAAAAACAGATCAAAAATAGTGAGATCGATAATAGATGCTTATAGTGTGATAGGCTATATGAAGAATGGACAATGATAGGACGACAATTAGCGGCAAGGGGAAGTGAGTGAGGGGTTTGAAGGGTGCAGGATTTGGAAACAATGAAACTGATCTAGTTTGTTTTTATTACTTTAAGACATTTCTAGTCGGTTACAAGTAATTTTTTTTTTTTTTTTGTTAAAATGATGTAGGTTACCAATTTCTAACAGTTCGATGGTTTATTTATTACAAAAAAAATGTTCAGAAATTTAATTATTTGAAATGAAAAAATTTAATGGTTTTTCATTCAAAACAATAGTTCAAAAACTTAATCATTCTAATTAAAAAAGAAAATGATTGGGGAAACGGTCGGAGAACGGCCATAAAAACGATTGAGAAATGGTAGGAAAAATCGGGAAACGCTTGAAAAACGGTCAGGAATGGTCAGATTTCATGGTGGTTATACAAATCTGTTTCTTACTAAGTTTACACCCAACTATTTTTGAAGCAGGAGGCAAATCTGACATAACATGTTGTCAACAAAGCCTTAGCCCATAAATTATTGGCAAACGGTAATTAACAATCTTGGTCTTTTAGGAGGTCAGGGGTTCAAACCTTACCATAGGTGAGGATGGTGTGTGAGTTTATTTGTTATATTTGCCATATATAAATATTATATACTTCAAAAAAAAAAGTAAGACTCCATTTTTTTCCTTTCGTCACTCCATTTTGTTTGGTTCTACAAGGTGCACTAACCTGATGTATTATGTCATGGTTTTATATTGAAACATATCAATTGTTTAATGCTTAGGAGCTGTTTATCAAACGCTTACTCAAGTAAGCGCTTACCAAGTCACATTATCTTGCCGGATAAATATGACGAAGATCAAATATCTTACCTTGTAAAGGCGAAGGCAAGGACCGAGAGTCATACCCAGTAAGTGAGGACGACAACTCTTACCATGGTTAACACTTACCGGGTAAATTGTTGCATACGATGCCGTATTGGTGGACCCGGTAAGTAAGTGACAATGTTATATTTTACCGGTAAGCACTGACCGGGTAAATGTTTGGTAAACGATTCCTTAGTTTCATTAAATAAACATAAGTGAACCTAAAATGATCATCAATGAATGTTATAGAATATCTACATCCACTTCTAGTTAAAGTGCCATTAAGTTCTCAAATATCCGAATGAACAAGTTCTAGAAGTTCATAATTTCTTTCTATCTTTGGAAAAGGTTTTTTTTTATTAATCTGGATATCCAACCGGCTACGCGAGTCAACTAATCCCAGGACGACCACTTGCTTTGCAGATAACCCAGAGTCACCATATTTGAACCTCCGTGGCCACAAGAGGATTTTTATTCCTCCTTGAATTTGAACCTGGAAAAGGCTTTTGTTTGCTGCACTTTTCTCTTATTGTCTTACTTTCGAACAATTTGTATATATTTTTCTCGAAAAGAGAACTTCTACTTTACCAGTTGTTTTTATATAATTAGAATAATACTTGGATTACGTAAAACTAAAAAAACATTGTTTAAACTCAAATCATACTAGAGAAATTAAACTCAAACCAATCATGGGTTTATGATTTATGAAGTGTGTTTATAATTTGATCACATCATATTTTTATTTTCTATTACTAGTTGTGTATCCGTGCGATGTAACTGGAGCCATAAATTTTAACAATTTTGAAGTTTTACTGGTTTTATTAAAGAAGATTTAACTATGATATAAGTTACACTTGGTCTTTACATATTAATACAATTTGAATAAATAAAAGTTATGGTTCAAATTACAGTATATCGATGAAAAAATTTGTATGACAGTGTAAAATCCAATATATTTAAAATCTAACGTATTAAAATGACTCCACAAATATATTCCATTTACACCAAGAGCAAATAATCAAAAGATCGAGACCGAGAGTTCTAGAGCAATTGAATGGGAGGTGAATGAGATAACTCTTAATAAGTTATGGTGAGTATCAGTTTGAATCTCACATTGGAGGATAGGAAGAAGACATAGAGGTATGAGAGGGTGAAAACATGAATGAAATATGTCAAAAGTATCTTGAAAACATGAAAACAAAAGACAATAATGTGTATTGGTAACTTGTACTATATGTTATTTCAATTGTAGATTAAGAGATTTTAAAACTGAATGCATAAAGTAGTAATACTTAATGCACTCTGAGTTATTTTTAAGACTTTGTGCATAAATGTATAGTATTTAATGCTTTAAGAATTGTTTTTAAGACTTTTAATAAATCTAGTTTATAAGGTAGTATAGATTTAATTAGATTAGATGACATCAATCTAACGAACTCATTCATATTCATCGACATTGACGAGTATCTCTTAATGATGGTAAAAAATTATTAACCCTCCACCATGTTTAAGACCTTTTCGACCCTTACAAGGACACAATTGGTCGAGTCGTATGCAAACTGTTTGTTAATCCATACATACACACAGTTAACAAAAAGAAAAATATATATTAGAAATGCAAGGAATCATCTTTCGGATCTTGGTCGGGTTTTTCGGGCATAGAAACCCAAAAGAGTGCGGTAAATGGTGTTTTAAAAGGATTCGACAAGGGGAAATTGATCCAAATAATCATTTTTCTCTTGAAAATTGATCTCAAATTTTGCAGAGAGAAATGGGTATTTGGAGCGGTTTCTCTTCAAACAAATATTAATTCAACGACTCTAAAAATGTGTTTAAAAACACCATTCAAACAAGAAATGGTAAAACCAATACAACAATTATCGTAAACAACCATTTTTATTTATCATTACCATCATCATAATATCCTCATAACACATCAATCATCATCAAATCAAACACATCCATCAACCACCAACATAACAAGATTCTTAAAACCCACCACGAAGACGAAGAACAAGATGAAGAGTCGACTCTTTCTGAATGTTGTAATCAGCAAGTGTCCTCCCATCTTCCAATTGCTTTCCGGCAAAGATCAACCTCTGTTGGTCTGGTGGGATGCCTTCCTTATCTTGGATCTTAGCTTTCACGTTATCAATGGTGTCTGAGCTCTCCACTTCCAAAGTGATCGTCTTTCCGGTCAGTGTCTTCACGAATATCTGCATTCCTCCCCTCAATCGAAGCACAAGGTGGAGTGTGGACTCCTTCTGGATGTTGTAATCCGCCAGTGTGCGACCATCTTCCAGCTGTTTTCCGGCAAAGATCAGCCTCTGTTGGTCTGGTGGGATGCCTTCCTTATCTTGGATCTTAGCTTTCACGTTATCAATGGTGTCCGAGCTCTCCACTTCCAAAGTGATGGTCTTTCCAGTCAGTGTCTTCACAAAAATCTGCATACCACCACGGAGACGGAGGACCAAATGGAGGGTAGATTCTTTCTGGATGTTGTAGTCAGCAAGTGTTCGGCCGTCCTCAAGTTGTTTCCCGGCGAAGATGAGTCTCTGCTGGTCTGGGGGGATGCCTTCCTTGTCTTGAATTTTAGCTTTGACATTGTCTATGGTGTCGGAACTCTCGACCTCCAAAGTGATGGTTTTTCCGGTGAGGGTCTTGACGAAAATCTGCATCCCTCCCCTTAGTCTGAGAACAAGGTGAAGAGTGGATTCTTTCTGGATATTGTAATCGGCCAAGGTCCGGCCATCTTCAAGCTGCTTTCCAGCAAAGATGAGCCTTTGCTGGTCTGGGGGAATGCCTTCCTTATCTTGGATCTTGGCCTTGACGTTGTCAATTGTGTCGGAACTCTCTACTTCGAGAGTGATTGTCTTTCCGGTGAGGGTCTTAACAAAGATTTGCATCTGCATGACGACAAACAATAACATCATAAGAAACCTCCAGAGAAGAAAACAAAAAAGGATCTCCTAAACGAATTCATGAATTTAAACCAAAAAAGAAATTAGAACAGAAATCTAAATTTCTGATCGAGAATTAGCGAACAAATGAATGAAATGTTTGTTTCAAGGGGCAGATTAGATGAAAAAATTCAGAAGTAAACAATTATAATCGGAAAACAAGTGATTCGATCGTCTAAAGAACACCAATAACTCGTGACAAACAAAGAGATAAAACAGATTTAAATCCAGCAAAGTAATCTAAAAACCCCATTCGAAGATCAATCAAAAATTGACGATTTTAACCGAAAGACCGATTACAAAAATCATAAGAGTCTTGTAGATCTAACAGATCCGTTTGATTCTAATAACCACCGATCTACATAAACAAAAATCTTGTAAACATGCAGATTCCCTAAAGAACCATACAGATCTAACAGATCCATTTGATTCAAAACACCACCGATCTAAGAAACCGGAATCTCGTAACAAATTGAAGCCGTATATCAATTTCAATCAGCAAAAACAGATTCTCACAATCAAATAAACGAACAAAAGAGAAATCAAGAACAAGGAGATCAGAAAGAAAACGAACCTTGAAAAATTCGAATAACTCTTGAGAAATGAATTAGGTATTGATGTGAGGAAAAGGGATGGATTTGGGGGTTGATTTATACTGGAAGATAACCAATTAGAATGTGACACGTGTTACGCTGTTGCCGCACGTCAAAGTTGTCCATCTAGAATTTGTCGGACTTTTCTACTCTTTTGTTTTTTTTCGGGAGGTGAATATTTTATTTGATGGATAAAATTATATTTATTTATTATTATTTTTTTTATTAAATTGAATATTCAATCTGTCATACGAGCTGACTAATTATAAGATGATCACCTGTTTTACGAGTAGTTCAGAATCATAGTATTTGAACCTCTATAGCTACAAGAAGATTTTTATTTCTCCTTTAATTTATTTTTTTTATTTGTGCTTTATATAAACATCTTTTAATAATTTTTTTTAAAATAGAGATTTTGGTTATCGAAAAAAGTTAAAATGAAGAAAATGAGAGAGAAAATATTTTTTTTAATTTAGATAAATTTTCAAAAATATTACTGATAAAAAAAATTATTTTTTATTATTCCTGACAATGAGAATGCAGGAAATAATATTTTATAAAATTATTTGATATTTTAATAATATAATTCATATTTTAATCTACGAAATGAAGAAGTTGTTAGAAATGAACATAATTTTTTTTGAAAATTTTGACTTTTGATTCTGTATTTTTAGAAATCTGTTCGATATGAATCACCTGTGATTTTAAATTTATTATCATTTGTATATTTATGAATTATAATTTCTTGTTGTTTTAGGGTTGTTCCTTTTCTAATATTAATATAAATTTGTTAATATTATTATCTCATTGAATAATATATAAAAAAACATATAGGTATATATATAATTTGATATATGACACACAAATTTGTCGACTTATGTCACAACTTGAAAAACGTTGCTTCCTTTTCGTGGGTGAGTAAGGGGCTGTTTACCAAATTTTCTATTAAGTCATGTATGGATAAATTTGTCTGTCTGGTGTGTTGTTTACTTTTTTATTTAAAACAACAGTCTGAATAATAGAAATGACCAATTCACTTATGAGGATGAACTACGCGTTTAAGGTTCTGGACATTCATTTCTTTGACAAATACATAACTTTTCTCCATATATCATTTTCACATGAGTGGCACATGATTTCATTTTCACAGAACTTCTCCTATTTCGTTTAGGGTTTTGTACATTCATTTCGTTGACATTCATTTTCACATAACTTTTCTCCTATTTAGGGTTCTTGACATGAATCACAGGGGCTGTCAAAATCTCTAAAAATCAGGCGTAATGAGAAGCAAAATCGATAGATATAATAGAGAAGCAAAACCAAAAGCAAACAAAAATATCAGGTGCAATCGATTTCACAGTTGTTTTCAACTAGGGTTCCTTTCTCAAAAGCAAAATCGATAGATATAGTGGAGAAGTAGTTACCGATTTGAAGCTCGCAATCGATTTGAAGCTCGCAATCAATAGATAAGCATGTGTGTTTACCCCTGAGTGTCTTTTTTTGGCTTAATGTGGACAAGGGCTATTTTTATTCTATGCGAATAAGCCCATTTTTGTGCGAATAAGCCCCAAGTAAACACACCATTTTGGTTGTGCAAGTAAGCTCATTTATTGATTAAGCTTATTAAGCCACAAGTAAACACACCCTAAGTGTTTGTTTGTTTTTTCAAAATTACATCTTAATACCCCTGAAGTCTGATTCGTTCAAGCGTTTGGGTATTAATATCGTTTGTTTTATTTCTAAAATAATAGCTTAAAAGCTTTAAATGTCCTTTGAAATTTTAAGTGATAAACATATCTCGTAATACCTCTGAATCCTAATCCTCCATTTATCAAACGTTCATATTTTGAGGCTTGGAAGAAATTTGTTAGAAAAAAGCTATTTATCTTTTATACCTTTGTAAAAACAACTATATATCTTTTATATTTTTGCATTAGTTTGACCGATTCAGATTTCAGACTTTAGACATAAAAACAAACAATCTTAATGATCTAGATTTCAGACTTCAGAACCACCTCTTATAAATCAGAAATGAAATCAGACTTCAGACTTCAACACCTCTTAAAAACAAACGCCACCTAAGACTTTGAGACTTGAAACTTGATCTTGCCGTTATGTTGCACGCCATTTGGAACCTTGGATAAGACACATATATCGACTGCACAAGACGAATAAGAAGGACGAGATGGAGAGTGTGGGGTGAAGCAGACTGGATACAAGAAGAAGGCAGCTATTGTTGGAGAGGTTTCACAAAGTGTAGAATGGAAAGGATTGTGCTGAACAACTCGATAGTCTCTTATACTTGACTATAGATTACTGATGGAATGAGCCTCAAAGACAAAATGACGATAAAGTGCCAATCATATAAACGAAAATCATAATTTCAAAAATACATGGGCAAAAAAACTAGTTTACTCTAATATATGTAGGTTTCGGTTCATGTGAGACCTACCTGTTTTCATGAGACTACTTTCTTTACACTTGAAACTTCACAGCAAAACATTTTAAAAGTAAAAGAATCAAAACTTTCATAGAAAAAACACTGTGAAGATTACCTTCACAATGTTCTAATATGAAGTTTCAAATGTAAAAAAATGGTTCTCATGAAAATAAACTGGTTTCACATACTCCCAAGTCTATATATGAAACGTTTATTGGAATTATTTTCAATAGTTTTTCCATAAAAATATTTGGAAATGTGGAAAAAAAAACTTAGAATTTTAAGAAAATTATATTTATATTTAACAGCTCTTTTATTTATATTTTGACAATTTTAAATAAAATTTATATAAAAAATGATAATTAGTGTTGTATCTAGAATAAGTAAAACACTAATCAATATAGATTCTCTCTTACCAATTTAATTTGAAAATTTATTCTCTCTAGACGACTCCTTTATTATATGATTATGTTTTTACTTTTTTTTTTTTAAATTTTATCCACTAATTGTTATAACTTAATAGCTGTTTGATAGTTGCTGAATGATTTGGTACAGAATGATTAATAGGCTCTCATGATATATTGCAAAATGAAATATAATTATTTGGTAATTGTTTACGGTAAAATTAGGATGCTAAATGGTTAAGAGAGACCTATGATACAAAATCATTCAGAAAGTTTTAGAATCATTAAGATACAATTTTTTTTTTTGTCAAACAAGATTCAATTCTTAATGATTCAGAGACCAAATAATTTAAAAATAAATGCTATTGTACCTTTGAATTTATTTTTGTATATAATTTAAAAATAAATTCTAAAAGGTTGGTTTTAATTTGACATGTTAATAATAATAATAATATAGAAATAAAATTATAAAATACAAATATTAATTACTATAAAAATATCAAAATCAATTAAATATAATAACATAGTAAAAACTAAAAATAATATCTTATAAAAACTGAAAATGGTATAAGAGAGGTGATAAGATGTCATAATCATAATCATAATCTTCCATTCCTATCCACCAATCATGTGCTAACAAGTAGAGGTGCTTAAAAAACCGATCAATCCAACCCAACACGAAATAACCCAACCTGATGTCTAATCGAGTTGTAAAATTGTCAAACTGTAGGTATTGAGTTGATATTGGATTACTATTATTTGAACTCAACTCAACCCAATCCAATGAACCCGATACCCTTTTATTTTCTTAGATTTAATATGATTGTTGAATTTCTATTAATATATATAGTAGACAATTACACTATCATGTATGCTTTTCATATACATATATTTTCAATCTATTCACATCTATATATAACTCATTCGTATATATGTTCAGTAACTACGAACATATATATGTAAATTGAGAAAATTAACTGAATGTGATATACGTAAGAAATATGGATAAGTTGTATCAAATGGTTAATGATGAGAAGGAAATTATGAGTAGAGAAATAACATATTCAAGGTTATAAAAGTATTTTAATAATATACCAAAGTATCAACCCGACCAACCCGTACGAGTTGGATTGGATTGGGTTGCACTTTGGTTTGGGTTAAATTAAGATTTTTCCAAACCGCAAGCATTAGGTTGAATTGTTCAAATATCTTCAACCCGATCAACCCACGAACACCCCTACTAACACATCAACTCTTTCTTATATAAATGTTTATTAAATAATGCTAATGTGTCAACACATGATTGGTGGGACATAACGATATGCCCTGACCCGTTGGAGAATCTGGTTCAGACGCCCCGTTACCATGTCTAGACAAGGAGGAAACATGAAATTTCGAGACGAGATTTCTATTTAGTAAACAAGCCCCGACACTTTTAAAAAAGATCCATTCGCTAGCATGTTTGACCAGGTTCAAAAAAAGAAAAAAAAAAGAAGGAAATTGACTCAAATAGTCATTCCATCCATTCAAATTGATCTCTTAGCCATTTCTCTCCCGAGTTTACCCAAATGTCATTACGTCCCCAATATCCACATCTGCAATACTGTAGACCTGACTAAAAGACAAAAAAAAAAATTCAGAATTAACATAGGTCCATAACTGCAAAAGTGCCACTTGCTAACCTGGTGTAATTTGATTATTTTGTCTTTTACTCAGGTCTGCAATATTGTGGATGTGGAAATTGCGGACGTAGTGACATTTGGATAAACCCATAAGAGAAATGGGTAGAAGACCAATTTCAGTGGGTGGAATGGCTGTTTGAGTCGATTTCCAAAAAAAAAACACCTAGAAAGCAATGTTCTTTTTCTTTAAAAGAATCAACAACATATATACAACTTGAAATTTTTCAAGGCCAAACTTGACCAAGAACATCTCTCTTCTTATATTGTCGATCCCATGACCAAGGAACATCTGCATGGTAAAAAAAAACACACAAATTCAATATCAACATAACCATCACTTGATTACATTTCCAAACCATCATACTTGATGTATTTACACATTCTGTAAACGAAAACAAACGAACCCGAAATCCCACACAAAGTAGAATCTAGGGAGGGTAAGACGTATGTAGTCCGTGCTAAATATAAACGCTAAACAAAAACATCCTCCTACCGGACATTGTTTGTCTAAAAGACTCATTGTCTCCTTCTCATGAATTGTAGTCCTACTTTTTTTATACTTTTGCAACAACGACGATTTTATATAGCGAAAGGCCAAGTTTGAAGAGGCAATAACTCAAGAAACAGAACTAGATATGTAAATTTCGTTTGACTGAGAAAAGATTGCACATAACCTTCTGAAGAGTAACGCTGTGGAGGGAGTTCGTAAGGCACTGGCAAAGTAATCACCTCCGGCAAATCTATTTTCTTGCTATGTACGGAAGCCAGTGTTACAAGCTTTGTTCTTTTTACTTCGGAAGTTTTTGAAGAGGAACCACAACTATTCTGAAACTAGAGGCAGGCTCACGTTATACATTTTGTGTTAAAATGGAGAAATATAACCAAAACAACCAAATCAAACAAGCCCGGTACATCCCAATCCCACCAGGAAGTGGAGACTGGGAGGTTAAGACGTACATGACCTCTATCCCAAAGAGTAAAGCAGCAGCAGAGGCGGATTTAAGTCTACTGGTAGTGTCATTGCATCTAATATTTGCATGTTTGAATCCCTTTGGCTCCCTTTTAACTTTTTGGTAACAACAGCAGAAAGAAAACAAGAAAAAAGCCACTTGGGTGTTGGCAAAAAACCATTTGTACGTCTTTTTTCATAAAACCTCAGTTTTTACAATTATATTTACTATATATTATGTTATGCTAATCATTCTGTGCCTCTGCTAGGAATTTTTCTGGATCCGCCTCCGAGCAGCAGTTTCTGTGAAACCCCAACTTGTGAAAAGTGTGCGAGAGTCAAAGACATACGATTTATTTTGAAAAGCTAGTTAAGAGTAAGCAATAACATACAAATAAGGGCAAAAATATAACCAACAGATACAAACAGAACATTGTACAATAGCAAAGGAAACAAAAGGTTTTACCTCCAACAGACTCCCGTTTCCAGTACAAGAAAATGAATGAGTATGTTTGGTTGAAGATGGTAAAAACAGCACCCCAAGCTGCAAGGATGAAAAGATCAAGATACAGAGGATGTAGTGGTCACAGATTTTACTCCCTCCAATCCAAGAAAGTTGCAATTACCTATTTTGCCCGTTTTCACCATTACAAAGAAGGTTATAATTACCCAGAGAAGCGAACTTATTATCAATTATACGCCGATTTAACAATTCTCCCTTTCAAAATTGACAAAGAAAACTTTATGGTGCTGGATTGCTTGTATGTCATGCTTATATTATGTATTGCCTATAGATATGCACAAAAAAGCCCAAGCCCGATGCCACCACCCGAAAGGCATAGGGCTAACAAGCCCAAGCCCAGACTAGCCCTTAAAGCTCGATTAAACCAACTTTTTTTTTTTTCAAAACCCGGCCTGAAAAATCCCAATTGAGCCTATTTTTGCACCCAAAGCCTGATCTGGGCCTGCAAAGGCCTAAGCTCTTTTTTGCTCACAGAAAACGGGCTTGAAAGTCCCAGGCCTTGTGCATCTCTAAATTCTTCTGACACGTCAGATTTTAAGCAAAATTTTCCGGAGGAATTGTAATTTAGAGCCAAGATGAATATGTTCGTCAAATAAACTAAAGTTATAGAACATTATTATATTAACGAGTAACATATAGTATGTCTTGTCTTTTTTATTACTAACCCTTGCAATGCATTAACTATAACCACCAAAACATTTTCTTATTCTGTCATCATTAATGGGTGTTCTAATATTTGACAAATAGTTAAACATTTCCCAAAAACTGCCCAGATGAAATTTGCAAATTAATCAGAACGAGGGATTATTAGTTTCTTTCATCTCTAATATATTTACTGTTGTGATACTCTTTGTATAGTTGAATGTATCCCTCAAGATTTCTTTAAAGACTTGAATAATTCTTGTGAGTTCAAAACTAATAAATTCAAACATTTGACTATAAAAAGTCAAAAGTGCAATGCGACAAAAAGTACCAAATACCTCATATGAACGAATCATCAGTTGAGTATTGTTTTTCTGAAGTGCTCCCCAGGCAGCTTTACTGAGGTTTGCTGATGTTAGCAAGAACCATCTGAAAAAGAATAAAAAAAAGAACTGAGAATATAGTCAGTGGGTCATATCCCGGCCTAACATGAAAAAAAAGGGGAAAGAAAAAAAGTAACAATATAGGTACTTACGCAAGGTTTTGACCGTTATAACGAGTAAATGTCTTTATATGAGGCATTGCACGACTGGAACAGAGAAAAAAATCAGAATCCAACACCAGTAATTGACTGAAATCGATCTAAAAATGCATATGCTTCTACGGGCAAATAAAATGAAATTGAACATAACTGTATGCCTATGAATATGAAAAAGGCTTTTGTTTAAGCTGCAAAAAAAATCACATGTAACCACAAGGGTGGTGCCTGATTGGTTTGAGCTTGGCTCCAAAGGTCAAAAGTACGAGGTCACAGGTTCAAATCCAAGGAGGAATAAAAATCCCCTTGTGGCCACGGAGGTTCAAATGTGGTGACTCCGGGCTATCTGCAAAGCAGATGGTCGCCCTGGGATTAGTCGGCTCTCATAGCGGATTGGATATCCAGGTTAATCAAAAGATAAAATAAAAAATCACATGCTCTACAACTGAGGCAAATGTAATACCAGCGACCGGTGTGGCTTGCTTTCCATTTTGCCCAATATTTCTTCAAGAACGCTTTCTCCACATTCTTTTGAGGGCTTGGAACGCAGCTCCCTGCTGCATAGCCCTGTTAAAACAAGAAACAATACAGCAAAAACTTAACTTAGTATGACAGAAAGTAAAAACATGAACACAAAAAGCTAAAGTTCAATTATACAAATTTCCACTAATTTGATGGCTGGACTTCATTAAATGGGGCCCACAAATATATCTTTTATTCTTCTCACACCATATCAATTGAAACTAGAAATTGAAAATGTCAAATGATCATGATCCAAATAATGTTGAACAAGTGCTGAAGAAAGAACTTGCATTCTCATTTGCCCATGCATCAAAATTAAGAAATAATGAACAATTTCTCATAACATGATTTGTAATTATAATTGCAGAAAATAGCATAAAATTTGGTGTATGATCCAAGGACGGTTTACAAGAAAAGTTCAAAATAGAGAATATTAGCCTGTTCCTGAAAAACAAACAAAAAAACAACATAACCGGCATATCCCATTCGGAGTACGGTTGAGGGGGTTATTATACAGACCTTTCCTCTACCCCAAGGGGTAGAAATGCTGTTTCCAACAAGACCCCCGGCTTGCGTAAGAGTTCTGGGGAAACAAATTCTGTCCAAAAGGTTTCTTATTGTTAATTAAGTAACCTGTTTATGGTTATGTGTCCAAGCCCGCTGGGCTTTAGGTTTAGGGTTTCCCGTGTAATTATGTCTATATATAGTGTCTCTCCTCTTGTAAATTAGAATATTCTGATTAATCATATAATAGAGAATTCTCTCTAATATCTCGGTCCTAGTTCTCTCTGATTACGCTTATGAAAGTTGAGAGGAAAAAAATACCAGCAAAAAAGTGCATGCAGTCAAGCAGGCAACAAGGACAAAAAAACAAGAGCAGTAAACAGTAAACAATAACAACAGAAAAAACAAATCCAGCAATAAAACTGTAAGTTATTATATGCCCACGACACGTGTCACACAGGAATAGTGTTGGGGAGTATGTAAACCTACAGGGTCACACACAAAGAATACGTTTGCTTTCATTTGTAGAAACCCGGATTATATCAAGTTGATTATGGATATATTTATTCTTAGAGGATAAGTGTCTAAGCAGGGGCGGAGACAATAGAGGGCAGGATGGTGCCAAGCCCCCCTAAACTTTACACCAAACCCAATTTTATTAAAATTAATGTTATTGATCCATCAAACTCTCATTGATCTCTTAACATTTTGCCCAAATCCTGAGACACTACAACAAAATTGGCTTTATAAAATGTCTTAATAGATTACTTTATTAGGACTTAAGTATATAGCACCAAACACTTATGTGTTCTATCTAAAGATGTTGCAATAAGTTTAAATGGCGCTTTTGAACGTCTTAAAAACTTTTTAGGACACTTTTGAAATAAAATGTCTTATTGACTCTTTTATAGGATACCATTTGAAAGAAGTGTCTTATAAAATAAATATACTGTAAAAAGATATGTTTATAGGACACTTTTTAAAAGTGTCCTATAAAAAGGCTAGCAGGACATTTTGTTTCAAAAATGTTTTAAAAATCTGTTAAAATGCTAAAAAGAGTTTCTATAAACTTACTACAACACCTTTAGATATGACCCAAAGGTTTGATCCTATAAACTTAAGTCCTAAAAAATAGTTATAAGGACGTTTAAACACTTTTAACATCCTATAAACTTGATTTTGTTGCTGTGAGGTGAGTTAGTAATTTTGTATTTGGTTTCTTATGCAAATAATAAAAGACTAGAAAATCTAATTATTTAAACAGTAGTTAACTAATTTAGTTGAATAATTTATATTTAACACATATTATGTAAAATGTGATTATAAATAATGTAAAATTGTAATTTGTTTAAATTTTAATAACTATTATCTATGGATAAACATTTAACAGAAATAAACATATCTGTGTAAAGGATATTATTGTCTACATCTAAACTATGGATTTTCTTATATTGTCTTTGGCCCTCCTTATACTGGTTTTAGCTCCACCCCTGTGTCAAAATATGTGTTGAAAAGTAATTATGATAATTACAGGATTAATTTAATAGTTCAGATATTGTTATTCATGATATAGTAAGATAGCGATCCAGGCAAGCGCCAAAGAAAGAAGAATGTGATATGTAAATATGTATAAACTATATTAAAGTTTAAGATAATTATATATATATATATATATATATATATATATATATGCTACAAATAATTACTAAACCTTATTTAAATTATAGTCTATCTATAACTTAGACTATATAAATAAGGTGTTAGGCTAAATCAATTTTAACTGATTGAAAATTAGATTTAGCCTTTCAGAAATTATAAAGAAAATAAACCCTTTCTTTTCTGTATTACACATAGATCTAGGGTTCTTGGGCTAGCACCCGGTGAGAGATCAAAGCATGTTCGTGTGTGGATCACTAATAGAGGAATCCTATTTTGGATCCTAAGTGCTGCATCAAATCTACACCGGTTCTGAAAAGGTACAATTCTAAACACCCTATGGTGTGTTGAATGTTCAATTAAATGCATCATTGGATCCGATCGGGTTTTATCTAGAAAAGTTTTCTGATTTAATGGTAATCAAGTTGTTAACTTTTCCACTGCGTAAACGGTTACAAAAGAAATATTATAATCCAACAAAAACTAATAACAACAACCTGTGCAAAACCACGTACTAGGACCAGATCCCCCAAACCCAACCACGCCAATGCAAAGTTACTCTACATGCAGGGATAAACTATTCAACCAAAAAGACCATGATGAGCATCAAGTATGATATGGAGGAATATTACCTCTATAGAACACCTGATATCCTCAACAGTGAGCCATATAATTAAAGGTTCCCCTAGGCCCAGAGGCTTCTTGTCGTCTGAAACTCCTGATGACATTGAGAATGCCAGCTCAGTCATCCACTTCTCGTCCAAAGAACCTAGGGAGGAGAACTGTTACCATTAAAAAAAAATGGGGTATCAGAAGCAAGGCCATATACATCAAGAAACTGTTGTGTCATCCTCCAATAAAAGAAAATAAGTGTTCCATACCTGATAAATGAGGGGCGAGTTTTGGAATTCTTTATCAAAAACACAGTTTTGTAGAACGGAACGTAGCTTCATGTGTCCCCATTTCTTAACATTTGAACCTGAATGATACCCAGGTACAGAAGCTATTAACCTTACCTGAAATTTGCAGGGTATCCAATTTCAGAAAGACAATTTAACTAGAACGTTAACATCCATATTAATGCTAAAAACATTTGCTCGTAAGTCAGTATGTGCATGTTTACATATGGGAGAGAGTTACCGCTGCACTGCTGTAATCAAATCTCTTAAAGAAAGATGGATTCAAAGTGAAGTTGCCTAGTTCAGGAAGTTTGACTGAAAACTCAGGCCACTGCAATCATTGGAATGGTGAGTACTACAATATGTCCTAAATAAAAGAATTATTATTGCAATATAATTATGATGAAAATATCAAGGGAAAACTGTGTTTAGATAGCCAACATTATGAAATCTAGCACTGATTACACCAAACAACAATTGCCTTTTATCAGCTTTAGAAGCTTCTAAAGAGCAAAACATCATATTACCACATTTTTAATACCCTAATAAGAGTTTTTTTTAAGATCATCTTCAATGAAGTTTCTGGATATCATATCAGCCTTTAGAGATACTAGAAGGGTACTTGCACAATGCAGCAAGATATATCTCGATATTAGTGTTCCGTTTTATTCCGTCTCTGTAGATGTTTTAATACGGTTTTTATGTGGTTTTGAGAAAAGAATAATGTTTTAATATAAATTTGAATATATCATAAAATTTTGAAAAATATCAATATTTGTATCAAATTAACTACTTAAAATTCTTATTTTTTGTGTAATTTTTTTTATTGTAATTTAATTTAGGTTTAATAACGAAGTAATTTATATTTAGTTTAATAATATAATTTTCTTATAAATATAATAATTAATTATTTTGTTAGAATTCGATAATTATCCTAATTATATTTTAGATTTTTTATATTTTAAAATGAGATGTTTATCTTCTAATTGGTTATGTTTATTTGCAGTTAGTTACGCGAATTCAAACATGAAGCTTTAATAAGTTGTACTTATGCATAATTTACTTGTAATCTTGAATTTTAAGTAATATGCATCAATATACAGTRCTTCATGCATAAAAAATGGTTTTTAAGAGTTTTTGTCAAATGCTTTATTCAGCCTTTAGAGATATAGATCTCAATTGTATTTGTTTTCATCCACTAAAATTATACACCAGTCATGGTTAAGTTAGAGGACTAGCCTAGAGGTTATGATAAAATGCATAAATTATTGAAAGAAGATGACTAGATGCTTGTTTTCAACATAAGTGAAAGAAGATGATTAGATGCCGATGCACAAGAACATACAGTAAGCTGAAAAGAGAATTGATACCCCTGTCATTTCGTTTATTTTTTTTTACTTTGAGAGGTCATGGTCCTGATTTCATGTATGTGGAAATGGAGAATAGAAGCATCGTGCATATTGCCCTACATGTGATCCCTATTAAAAATGAACATGCAAACAAGCAACGACAGGAGATGGAATTTTCTTTTGAAAATTAATAGAGGAAATAAACAGAAAAGGTACACTCTGAAAGTTAATTCTACTCTTTTCGACAGAAAAAGCGCAGAACAGAACTAGGTGAAAGAATCAAGTACTAGTATATTACCTTCAGTGTACTAAGATAGTCAATCAGGTCGGTTTCAAAGCCACTTCCTTTGTTTGAATTATCTTGACTCTTCCATGGAAAATCTTGCATCCACAAACCCTGGCTTTTGTTATTCCAATCAACGTAGATTAAATTTGCCGTATGGACAATAATTCTCACGCCTCGAGGATATACCAAAAACATGGCTTTGGAATGGTGTGTCCCCCATGCGATGGGTAATGGAGGTTTGTGCAAAATCCAATTTGCTGCTTTGTTTTTCTATAAAAGAACAAGTAAAATCTAGGTGATTTTTTAACCAACAGGAAGCTTTAAATACATATAGGATAACTTAGACCAGTTGCGGACCTTCATATGCTCCTGCCTACCATCACTTTCACCATGAACCACCAGAACATGAGGGACATTCTTTAGAGTAGGGCATGCTACACCACAAAGTGTAATATTCTTTATCATAAGTCATCTCAATCAAGAGAAACGTCAAAAATGAAAAAGAATAGAAGGACCAAAACACATAAAAACAGATATTACAGCCGTAGATATGTTTAGTATTGGATGTAACTGAATTAAAGTCAATAAAGTGCATGTAGTCATGAACTCATGATCCGGAAAACCATGAAGAGTAGCAATAGAAGTTCTTAAGGAGCCCAAATGGGGAGCGAGAACAAAAATGACCTTAAAGAAAGTTCCAAATGGACAAAAGAGTCCTAAATACCGATGTCACTAAACACGCACCACAAGTCCGCTCCCTAGTGTGGAAGATGCTCACCTGATATCAACCAATCAATGTCGACCATGTAGTTCGAAAGAATAGCAATGAGAACATCCCCCTAACAACCATATATAAATTAAATCAGAAATCCTTCGATTAACCTCACAACTACATCAAGAAGAAGTGAAGAACCATAAGGGTGAAAAAGAGAAACAATAAGCAATCAATCAATCCTTGATTCTCTGTCAACCCAAGGAAAATAGTCACTCTCATCAAGTATGTGCCAAAGTTTGTGTCCTGGAGGTTGGAATATGGTTTAAGATGGAAGCACATGAGCTTACATCTAATAGTTTCAAGACCATAAATCGGTGGGAGAAGTACAAAAAGATCAAGGATAGCTCATTTTAAGTTGACAAATTTCAATATCATGAATCTTCTGAATGAAAAGTCGGTGCATTACATACTACATAACCACAATTAGGCTAAATCTTACACAAGCCATACTGAAGTTTCTTCATCATGTTTGTGCCATCAGATTAAGGAAGAAAAACTATATGCCACAAAGATAGTGAGATATTGCACGTTTCAGATCAGAATAAACCAGAAATACTCATCACAGATGATGGCATTGCTTTTTCATGACCTTTATGTTATATCCTTGATGAGATATATATGTGATGAAATATGTTTTTAACACATGAACCGGTCCCTTAATCACACTGCAAGTAAAAGAATATATTCAAAAGGAAAGTTTTGTTGGCACTTATGGGAAATAATTTTTAGTTACCTGAATTACATCCCCAACTGACACAGAACTAGTATTGGCCCAAGGTTGCAAACCTCTCACTCGCATAAGTCGAAAGGTCTGTGGTAATTTATCTTTGGGGGGCTTGAAATTGCAGATTGCCTCGGCAGAGCTTTTCTTATCATGGATATCATCATTCAGCTCAATCTGTGTGTAAAAGAGGCACATATAATTCATAGGAATCAACAACCATACAACAGAACTTCCCCTAGATGAGCCACATCGAACGTCTAACCATTTTAGTGAACTTTTCATCCAAAACAAGTCAGGCGGCAGTCTTGGTACAAAAAAGTACCTGCAATCTTCTAGCAAGGGCCTCATCTTCAGAAACTTGTCGCAATCGCTTTTGTGTAAGCGGCTCGTCTTGAATTCCTTCGATTAAAGGCCTTTTCTGTGTGTTCGGTGAAGATCTCTTTCTTATTCCATCAAAAGCAACATACTTAAATAAGTGGTGTCCTGGGATTAATTCTATGATATCACCATATCTAATTGTCAGCTTTTCTCGAGATAAAAGCTTCTTCCTTTTATCCTGAGATCGAATGACAACTGGGTTCGTTCCTTCCTACAAGTCAAACGGGGGTATATCAAACAAAAGTTGTTTTTAAAAGCTGTTACTGTGTTACCAAGAGCAGGAGCACATGTATTAGAAAAAAAAATGAAGATAGCAAAGATGAAACGGATAAGATGAGTGGTATTTTTGATCATTTCACATTGTAAATACATCTACAGAAACATCACTTGGATATCTTCATTCAAACTCCACCAATTTGGCCCAGTTTTATGATATTTTCCAGAAAATGGTGGTTTGGTCGCCTATATCTTAATCCTATAGCCTACTGGATTGAAAAACAGTTTCATGTCCTAAATGTAAAATACAAAACGTTGCAAAGCCTGAAAGTGCATAATACTGTAAAAGTAAGTTATTTTTCAATAATCCTTAGTTTTGAACAAAGTTCATACTTTCTATGTGGATGGAAGTAGATACATGCTTATTACCGTCATCACTCTTATTATCTGTTTGAGTACATTTGCACATACCAAGAAGACCTGTCTGAAATTTTCTATGAAAATTCAAACACATTCTTAAAAATATGAGAGAGAAAGTGAGACGAGAGCTTGTACCACGAGAACTTCAGCAGAGCCATCAGAAGAGACGGTAACAGAGAGATGTTTGCGGCTAAGTCTCTTGTCAGTGATAGGTATAACATTACGACCTAATACATTAATCCCTTTACTAATCCCAACTTCAGGGATCGAATTCGAAGTGTCTTCCTCTAGATTACCATTCAGAGGCACCAAAACCCCAACCTTCACCAGATACAAAATTCAAAAAAGAAGTTACGTAAACCCATCAATGATTTGTATGAAATGTTGTTGAGATTACGTACCTGAGAAGAATTTGCCATCGACGATGTTGTAATTAGATGATCATGATCGTGAATTTGAAAACTATGGTTGCAGGAGAAGAACCCTAACGGATATGAATTAGGGGTTTGATTTTTGGTGTGTAAATTGATGGAGTAAGGAGCAGTGTTTTGATAAACAATAACGAGAGTAAACTATGTTTTTAGTCCCTGTGGTTTGTAAACAATTACAACTTTTGTCCCTATGATTTCAACATTATAATTTTCATCTTTATTGTTTATAATTCATTGTTATTTTCATCCTTACATTTTAATGTCCATGTTTATATTTTAACTTGTCTTAGAATAAATATCCACTTTCAAACTGAGTATCTACTTTCTAGTTATAAAATGTAGACATTCATCACTTTCTTTGTTATTAAGGGTAAATTTGTCATTTTGATTAAATAATATATAATTATTATGTATTTCCGAAATCGGGGTTTGATTCCGTGAGAATGGAAGTTATGGTGAAAATATGGTGCGTTTGGTTTGCAGGAATGGAATGGATTTGGGGGGATTTGGTTTTTAAATCCATTCCAATCCTATGTTTGGTTTGCCAAATTGAAGGGATTTGGAATCCAAGGATTTGATTAAAATCCAGTGTATGCAGGATTTGGAAATCCTTTGCACAGGGGCGGGATTTCAAATCCAATCATTTCCGTCCCATCGCTTCCTGTCGATTATTGCGTCTCCCTTCCTTCCTCCTGCTTCCTTCACCCATATTCCCTCCCATCGCTTCCCTTCCATCGCCGGTGCTCCCTTCCCGTCCCTTGCAAAGCTGTGCCCTAAGGTCGTCTCGCCGATGCTCCCTTCCCATCCCTTGCGAAGCTATGCCCTAAGGTCGTCTCGCCGGTGCTCCCTTCCTTTTCCCCTCGCGAAGCTGAGCCTTGAACCGCCTTGAGCCAAAACCCCTTGAGCCAAAACGCCTTTCCTGTTCGCCGCCTTCTCGCATCACTCTCAGCAGGTAAATCATATAACACCTTTTGTAGATGCTTAAATCTGAATAGGTATGAACAGAGTAGTCCTCCTTGTTTGATGAAAACTTTTCTCAGGTATATAGTTTTTGTTTAAGTGTGCTCTGTACATATGATGTTTTCATCGTCATTGCTATATGCTTGCTTAAACTGATTCTTCAGATGCATGATCATAGGAATTTTGCTATTTCTAGTCAACTTCTATATGCAGTTTTATGATTCTTCAAGATATATAGTTGAAGTTCATGGAATACACTATGGTCATATTATGTCCAAATCCCGCAAACCAAACACAGGAATGGATTTTAAATCCAATCCAATCCAAATCCCATGGAATCCAAATCCCTCAAAAACATTCATGCAAACCAAACGCATCCTTAGAGATTTCTACCATTTGATCAATCCTATTTGAATATCAACAGTAATGAGATGCACTCGGGATGTGTTGGATCCATTCTCGTGTCAAGCACAATTCATGGGATGGGGGTGAGATTATCGATCAAGGGTCCAAATCCCTTCTTACGTTTATCACTCTTAACTCCTATTCTCACACGATCATTCGTTTCTAAAATCGTGTCTTTTTCATTGGGAACATTTATTCTGAAACAAAGCTCGGGGGGGGGGGGGGGGGTATAAACTATCGGGTCGGAAATCGTAATTACAAAATATAGAGACGGAAATGACAATTTTCATCAAACCACATCGATAGAAGATGTAGTTAACTTAAAAAAACTATATTATACTGATATTTGGGCTAAAATGGTATAATTTAATGAAATAAATACTTAATTATTCCCCTTTTGTATTTATTTTGATCAACAAACGTACTTTTTATAACTATTTATGATGTGGATGAATCTGGTTTTAGGGTATATTTCTTTTACAACCTTGTGTATTTGTACAACCCTTGCAACCCAATTAATTGAGATATTTATAGAAATGATGGGAGTTCATTTATTATAATTTGAATATTTATAGAATATGAATAGAGTTCATTAATTATGATTAATACTTTATATTAGGAAACAATCAAAACTTCTATGAAATCACATATTCATCAAATGAAATAGACGGTTGAGATTGGGTTGTATTGGTTGCACAAATGTCAAGGGTTGTATAATAACCAACCTCTCTAGTTATATTATAGGTCATGATTATGTGGAAAAATATCACATTTAAATCAAACAATATAAGTATGTTATAAAACGTCTATCATATAAAATAGGTACGGTTAATAAAGTACTGAACTTTTGTTATACAAACTGAGAAATTTTTTACTGTTAAACTATATAGAAACTAACACAAATTTTATTATACTTCGCCCAAATATTTTAATCGAAACCCAATGAAAAGCAAGAACTTTTATCGGCGATCTATCATCTATCAAAAGTATCAACCTTTCCGCAAATAAACTCATCAACGGCATTCCCCGATAGCATCGGAAGTCTGAAAAGTATCCAAAAGCTTCTTACTGTGTTCTATCTCTTAAACAATTGTTGAGATGAATTTCGGCAATGAAAACTTTATGAAAATCAAGAGAATTTTGCAAAATGTGTTGATTTTACAAAAACAAACTATTGATTAAGATTTCAGACTTCAGACGTTTGTCAGTTTATAAAAATAAATAGTCTTATTAATTCAAATTTCAGATTTCAGCACCAACTCTTATTAATCAGAAGTGAAATAAGACTTCAGACTTTAACACCTCTTAAAAAACAAAGACCACCTTAGTGAAAGGATATTTATATAAATTTGCTTCGAGTGTTCGAATATGTGTCATGAACAATGATTATACGAGATCAGTAATAAAATGTGTTGAAGATGTTTTAAATACTGTAATAAAAACTTTTTATGATATGAAAATGTTAATAAATTATTATCAATTAAATACATATTGTTTGAATATGTTTTGTTCACATGAAAGTTATTAAAGCTTCTTAATCTTGTTTTTGTGAAGTTTTAGTTGTATTATGTCAAATTTTGGTTTCCGAACTTCATACTGAACGATATGAATTTAAATCCAGGGGCCATTTATCGGACGTTTATACGAAATAAGCACTTACGGATAAAATTTAAAAATATCACTTATTTACCGGGTAAAATTTTAGTTCACCATCCGATAAGCGCTATCCGTGGTGAAAGTCGTGGTCCTCACTTATCGGGTAAGACTCTCAATCCTTGCATTTGCTTTTATATGATAAGATTCTTAGTCTTTACCATATTGATCCAACGTCAAGCCTCAAACATCTCTAGATACGCCGTTATGAGACATGATCTACATGCCAATGAGATGAAGTGTTAGGCTTATGCCTAGTGAGCTCGAGCAGTTAAACTTACCAATGTTACCCACAACGATAATAGTTGTATTTAGACACATGGGAGCCATTCAAAGGAGAACTCGGTATTTTATGAGCTCTGTGAGATCCAATCTCAACAACAAATCAAATGTCAAATTAGGAAATTAATAATTTTGATAGTTTTGCCTTCAAAATTTAAATAAAGAACATTTTAGGTATTTTAGAAATCTTATCTCTAGTCTCTCTTCTCCCCTCCGACGTGAATATTCCATTGTGATGTCCATTGTATACACATTGTGATACCCTAAGATATATAATGTGATACATTGTAAACAACAAAAACATACACTGTGATACCCTAAGAAATATGATGTAATACACTATAAACAACGAAAAGACGCAGGCTGATAATCCTAAGACACACAACATAATATACGTAAACAACGAAAACTTACACTGCGATAAAAAGGAAACATATGAAACCAACAACCCTCCCTTCTACAAATACATCTTGTGCTAGTTATTACATTCCATGACCAACAACATCTAGCATTCTTGGGACGGAGGTGTGGGTGGATGTCGGAGCTTTTGTGTCTCCAACGTATAACATTGTCGAGATCTCTAGCGTTCTTGTATCTACGACTGTTTCTGATGGTTTTCCCGTATGACGAAAGATGAGGGTGGGTGTCGACTGGTTTTCAGGGGTGGTGATAGTGACGATTTAAAGAGAAATGAGATATAGGTAATTGAAAAAGGGATATGGTGTAATCAAGAGGCAGGTGATTAAATCAAGGGGTTAATTGTCAAAAATCAGTTTATTACTAAATCCCCGTTTTATATTTATATGAAAAATAACAAATTCATTTTTCATATTAGATCTCACGGATCTCACAAATTACTGAGTTCTCATTTGATTAAGCCCCTCTTGTCCAATATATTCCAAACTTCAAAATACATATAAGTAACATATTAACCCATTTCCATCAGGAGTGGCAGGTACACAAAAATATTACCACATATCGATGTTATGGGGTTATACCTTAGATTCTTTGACTTCACTGTACACCATTCATTGTGTCACCTCAGGCCTCCTAATACCTTTAGTGTATACTCCAATGAGTTCCACCTGAAAGATTTATTAATCTTAGTGCCGACCCATTTTCTAGATAAATGTCACCTTAAGACTCCCATTCAACCTTTAATGTCGACTACTAACACTCATGTAATGCTTATCGATTAAGCATTACATGGACCAAGAATCTTACCCGATAAGAGGCAGAATAAGGACCGAGAGTCTTACTGTAAATGAGAAAATAGATTCTAATTTGATAATTACTTACCGAGTTTAAGATGTTTACCAACAATCCATTTTGATGGTCAATGATTTTACATGATAAGGTAAGTGAGGATAATTTCTATTGCCGGTAAGTGTTTGTAAAATACTGCTAAGTTCTCTATCAAATGATTTGATGAAGGGAGAGGAAGGAAGGAGAAAAAGGAAGAAAATGGAGAAGTTGTGTCCCCCAGCCCGAGAATACAATGATTACAGGTAATGGTCATTTTAGTGCGAATTTTTCCAATTTTCTACTTCTGAATTCTTGAAGTTATATACCATAAGGACTGATAAAAATACATAATTACACATGCAAAAAGATATAACTGGACAAATGAAAACTCGAGATTTAAGAGTGTTACAGTTTTCAAATTTTCTTTGACACCTCTAAGTGTGTCCCCAATCATAAATGTTTCTTGATCCCCCAGTATTGTGGTCATATTACACTATCTACTCATAAAACACCACCCCATTTCACCCAAATCACCTTAAACGCTTAAACACACCTCAACTAATCTCATAAGCCCTTACAGTTATCAGTAGGATTTTATTCCAGTGGCCCTACCGGTGACCAATGGGGGAGAAACCCAATTTCCATTATTTGAGATGTTGACGATAACATGAAATAGAATCAATACATCGAATGAAGAGCATTCTGTAATGACGACAATGATCTAATACATAACTTTAATTCGTAATAGAAAGTATTGAAATTAATATGTTTTGTAATCTTTAGTAGGATGGAGAGAATATAAGCAACCCAACAAATCTGGGGTTGAAAGAAATCATTCTGCACTTTGATTTGTGTATGAAGTTGTCAAAACTAATTAAGAGTAGTAACTAGCTACTAATATGAAGACTATGAGATTACTTTGATAAAAACCTTTTCATGTAAAATGATGAGTAGAACTAATCTCTCTAATCTTTTGTGATTAGATTCTGATCTTCGATTCCCAGTTCATTTACCTTCTCCGTTTTGATTCTTTTCGCATCTCCGAAAGGTAGCTTTCTAAGTTGGATTTCACCCATAAGCGTCGGTTGATGAGATCTTTCTTCGACGACTCATCTGAAAATTGCAAACTCAATGTGTTAGTTTCTAGTATTAGACCTAAATGAAGTTAAAAGCAAATATATCCATGTAAATGTTAAACCTGGCTTTTGTTTTGCATATGTATCTCATGTTCCAATTGCTTCTTATGTATTTATTTATTTACTTTCTAGGCAATTCCAACTTTTGGTCGGCTAGACTTGGATCATTAATTCTCAATACATGTTGGAACCATACTTCTCTTCTCAATGACTCTTTTTGGCGAGTAATGGTTCCACATATCTTATTATGGTATTAGAGCCACCGTCTACGACTCTACGGACAACCTTTACCCGTTTAGCCTCCGTTAGAGGGGGCGAGTTGGAGTTGCACATCGACTAGACTTGGACCAGTTTTCCTCAATATATGTTGGAATCTCCCTTCTATCCTCAACGGCTCTTTTGGTGAGTGATCTGATGACATTTCACATATTTTCACATGGTACCCGAGCCAATGTCTACCTCTCTAGAGTGTGGGGCACTCTCTTTGCCCGTCTACTAGCCTATGTTGGTGGGGGGGGGGGAGGTGTTGGAGGCCATCGGCTAGACTTGAATAATTTCTCCTCAATATATGTTGGAGGCTTCCCTTTTTCTCCTCAATGACTCTTCTGGTAGGTAATCTAATGGGGTTCCACATATTCTCACATGGTTTGTGACCAGAGTCGATAAAGAACACTTGTACCAAACCGCCACGAATGTTCTTTACAGACTTTGATCGCCATAGTGGTGCACACGTTGATTACATGATGTGCTCATATCATTATCTAGTATTAAACAAATCGTGTGTTATGTTTTGATTATAAAGAACACTAAAATCAAATGAACTAATGCTCAAACTCATAATCATAACTTAAATTGCTATAATCTTTGACCAATATATCCACTTATATAAAGCTAATGATTTATTTTCATCGTTATGCCAAAGTATTTGTAGGCTTCATACCCTTTGAGCTTATCACTACGGTCAAGGTAAACAATGAACCGAGAAAACCAATAACGACGAATTAAAGTTGCTTTGAGAGTGTGTTTTAGAAATGGTAGCTCAATAGATTAATGCATTCATTTAATATGCACCCGTTTAATAATTGGCTGAAATAACTTTATTTGCACCAACTAACAGAAAGACCCCTAATATGACACGATTTGGACCATAAAAGAAAAACAGCATAACCAACATGATCAAGTGTTAATGCCATCAAAATTAATGAACAATATAAGGCTCAAGACCGTAAATATAGCATAAACATCTAACTTCACAAGTTCCATAAGAAAATACATATCGAGTTACATTGACTGTCTTGTTCATCCCACCTTTCATCTTGATCAACCCAACCAATATTTTGTTGATCAAAACTCATTTGCAACATTTATAGAAATTATTGCAATTGGCCTCGAATGCCTTCATGATATTATGTGAATCAAGCCAAGAATGTTCGATTACATAGATTAGGAGGAAATAGATCAACTTGAGAACCATTCTGGTTGAACGAAAAGAATTTGAAATTTAGATACATTCCTAAAATGATTTGCTAGGTTGCTTGATCTTTTACTTGGTGATACCAAGCTTCATCAAGAGTTTGTTGGGATGGCTTGATGAGACCAAAAGCAAAATCAAGAAGATGGAAAAGCCGATTGAGCAAGTCCTATGAAAGATACCTTTTGCTAGTTTTCTAAGAAAAAAATTCCCTTCATTCTAGAAAAAGTGCAACCCTAATTGAAACAGATATTTGACTATTGATCAGATATCTAAAATGCTTCTTAATAAGGCCAAAATAAAGAAAACTTGTTGTCAATAATCACAGTTAGTGATATCAAACAATGTTTACTAAAAAGTAAAAAAGGTAAATTGGGCTTGCAAACTTGGCAAAGAAAGGGAAATGCTGCATTTTTTGGGGGACAACCTGTACTGGGAAGTGTTACTTTTTTTGGGATGCATGGAGTTATGGAGGAGCTTGGTTGGACATATTTCTTTATCAAGACAAGAGCGAACAAATGCCTAAAGCTAAGTTTTTTAAGATGGTTGATATTTAACTCTGATTAAGTTAGACATGAGTTAACAATAAGTTTGGTGTGTCAACACAAGACTCAACAAGAATCACCATGTGATTTTTTTTTGAAAAATTAGGGTTAATTTGATGGAACAAGTGGCTTGCAGTACATTATAAACTCGATATATCAATCATCATTGTAAAATCTGTAATGACAATGTGCCTAAATTTTACGAACATTGCAAACCTTCAGCAATTCAGGGGGGCCTAGAAACTAACCCAATCTAATTTATCAAAGGATTCTTGACTTGGCCAATTTATTTAATGAGATTTATTGATTTGCCCAAAATTATTCTACTTTGAATAAAAGCAGGTTTTCTTTATATCACTAACCGAAATCAATATAGTGTTTTCATTGACCATTTTACCAATATTACTCCTTCTCTCCTCCACCTCCTCAAATGAACCTAATTTTCATGTTTATGCTACTTTACTTGTTATATTAGGAATTATTTTTTTGATTGGTTTTAATGGGATTCAAAACTTGAGAAATACTGGTTTTACCTTTTAGTTTATTGTCTAAATTGTATGATATTTTGAAGTCTTTTATTAGTTGGCACAAATAATGCTTGATTGTTGAATATACAAATTGATAATAAGTCCGATGCATCAATGGTACATTCCTTAAAATTACTGGCCCAAAATGTTGGAAATACAATGGTTATGGTGCCAGATTTTTGTCAAAATACCATGTCACCACTGTTTTCAACTCTTTCACCCAAAAAAGAGAGACTCACTTTGAGTGGAAGCTCACTTCAAGGAGGAGTTTACATGGAAACAACTTCTAGATCCTAGTGGTTGAGATAAAGCCTGTGTACATCATACCCCTCCCAGACCCTACCTTCGAGTGGGATATACTGGGCCCATTTGGTTTGGTTTTAATAGAAAATTTAGGGGCTATACGAGAATAATTGCTTGCGCCCATAGCAAATATCACGAGAAAAATCAAAATACTGCACCATACAACGTTTTGATCATGACAAACAAAACTGTATTATCACTAACATGCTTTCAATGTTAAGAATAGCAAAAATATAACTCTTAGAAAAAGTTCAAGCTAGAAGATCAAAGGCAAATGAATTATCTAAAAATGAATGTAAAAGATACATACCTAAAGAATTATATTGAGATGGAATTTGATCAACAAAACAACCATTGGGTTGATCAAGATGCTATATATGAATTGCAAGAGTTTGACGGGGAAGAAAGAGTAATCAATAGAATTCTTTGTCAATTGTTTTAATTAATTTTATATATATTTCCTCCTTCACTACCTCAATAGGTTGATTGCTTATGAAACTTATAAATTTATTTAGTCTTTTAGCTACATATGGAACTTGGCTTGTTATTTAGGACTTATTTGGTTTTATGAACTTCGGAATGATGCTTTTTTATGCTATTAAACTTTTATCACGTTGCAATGTGCTTAGTTAAAGAGTGTTTAAACTTATAAAATATAATCTTTGGTACTTTGGCCATGCTTGGGGTCTTCTTCCATAGTTAATACTTCAGAGTATATTGTAGGCATTGTTACAGAAATTACAAGGCAAAAATGTTAACATTACAGCAATTATGCTGTTGTATTTTGGTCAAATAGCATCTCTCCAATTTTTTTAATGCTTCTAGTTTCCACCGGTAAAGAAGTTTGCTCTGAGGGGAAGCTCACATTAAAGGGAAACATTATTCAAGGAAGAGTTTTTCTTAAAGTTTATAGTTTTCTTAACATTTTTGATTTGACAACAAAGGGTTTTTAAGAGATATATATATTTTTGAACAAGCGAATACATCAAACATCCATGTTTATCATCATCAAGAAAGAAAAGATCGTTGGTGGAAATGGCAAACACCATGAAAATTCATGCTCACAAATTTTATTAATCAATGTTTTTGATGATGACAAACAAAGAGAATTAGGGTGTTAAAAAAAGAACCCCGAACCTGCTTGTTTAGAGAATCACACTGTTCCTGTAATCCTTTCCGTTACAAAAATGTTTTGGACGTGAGAATAGCGAAAACAATCATTTTTAGAAGAGCTTGAAGCTAGAAGATTGAAAACCAAAAAGTCATCTTGGGATTCATGCCAAAAACAAGAATACTGAAAAAAGAATAAACTTCAATTATTCCAAAAATATCATAGATAAACCAAATGAACCAAACGAACCCGGTATGTCACACCCGAAGGTAGGCTGTGGGACGGTTAAGACACACACAAACCTGACCTCTACTGAAAAGAGTAGAGCGGTTGTTTCCGCGAAGACCCCGGCTTGTGAAGTGTGAAAACGAGAAATGTAAAACTATTGACTAATAGAAGCAGGTACACAAGAAACAAAAGCAGGAAAGAAAAATACATACACCTAGCCCAACTCCCTAACCCTATCACTAACACACGACCTCTCTAGCTTCCTTCCACCAGACTACGCTAGCTATAGCTCCCCACCCGTAGTCCGCTACCCTAATCTTGTGTCTCCAAGAGCTCCTATCTGAGGTCATGCCCACGGAAATACCTAAAGCCGCCATGCCCCAACCCAAGTTGCTCATCCCATGTCCTCCTCGGGCTGCCCCTCCTCCTTGCCCCCTCAACCGTCGCCTTTTCTATCCTCTCAATAGAGCCGCCATCTATCTCCAACTAATGTGACCAAGCCACCACAATCTCCATTCCCTCAACTTATCCTCATAGATAAGTCTTCTAACAGGGATTCTAAATTGTAATGATCCCAATAAGTTGTTAAAAATTGATTCAGAGAAGTTCCAAATCTGGCAACTATCCATTCTTGTAAAGCTGAATTTAGAAAAAATGCTAATCTAGACAGATGTCTGCCTCATATTTCTTAAATAAAGTTGGCATAAAATGCATGAATTGTCACAGAGGCCAGGAGTCCAGCTAGGGTTAGAGATACGTCTGCCTAGGGTGAGACGAATGCCCGTTTTCACCAAATTTTAAATGTATGCCTTCTGCTGAGCTCGCAACTCCTAACAAAGTCTCAAAACAGCTTATTAAGCATTACTTTTTCATTCTTGAAGGCAAACTTGTTGAGCAAAAAATTATGCACAGTCACTTGTACGGTTATTGTTACATGCACTAGAAGTATGTACACAATGAATTCAGAATTCTCGAGCCCAACTAGGGGAATGGACATAGAACAAAGTCCCCCAACCATGACAAACTAGGGTGTTATATATCTGACTTTATCTCTTTATTCACCATAGTTCTATTATTTGCAAGTGATTGTTAAAATCAGGACATAAACCTATTCACCCATCTACGTTGATTTTCACACCCTTTTGAATAGAAGTGTAAAGTTGAAGGTTTTACTTGCAAGATAAATACCAGTCACTTAAACAAAGATGCCAAACAGCTAATAACAGTGCTAAATGGCTACCCACATAAACCATTTTCGGCTACCCACATAAACCATACTTCAATTCCACAGCGAATTTATACATGAAAGAAATCAAATAAATAAAATAAATCTTGCCAAAGAGGTGAATAGCTTTACCAAGATATTCCCATGAATCAGGAGGCGCCCCAAGTGCTCGTCTAGTCAAGTAAGATGCATCTTCCCAAGAATAAGAAGTTTGGTTAATCTTGTATCTCCAATACCAAGATCCATACCATAAAACTAGCTGGAGAATGAAAAATTCAAAATTAAGGTCCGCTTTTACATTATGTATGCCTTGTAGGACAATAGTTATAAATCTGACGGCATATGCCACAATCTGTTTGATGTTGTCAACTTTCAAATGACAAAATATACAAAACTACCTTTCCAAGAGTGTAGGGCAAGAGTATAAATCGAACACCAAGAAGTCCCCACATTGATGGCTTTTCAGCACCTTTTATCTGCAGTTCAAGTTCCTTGCTAAGGTCTTCTTGTGTTTTCCTGTCATAAGAAATGTTCCTTGCTTAATTCTCGAGAAGATGGTTCATCTTTGTTAGGAGAGTAATCTTGATCAATGGGTAAATATCAAACTGAATAACGGCAAAAAGAATAAGCTTCAGAATTTCAGAACATCAGTACTCCACATAATGAAAATACTAAATCTGATTATGCGATAATGCTTTCATACTTGTCGATCTTGTAACCACCCTTCTTTTTGCTTGACATTGCTCCGGTGCGTTCAAGTTCCAATGCCTTCAACTTATTTTTGTAAGCTGGTGTCCTCTTGACCATGTCAATAGCCTACAAAACAATGATGCATATCAATGTAGAAGATACTAAAAACAAAAGGAAAAGAGCAAAAGAGACATGCATCATTGAACGTATACATTCACTCCTTATATTTATGCATCTATAACATCTTTTAGTGGACTGAAAACTTCTTTTACTACAAGGCCTGTTTCTTTATTCATGTTTATGATCCATGGTTTAAGCCATTGACTTCATCATTTTAATCTTATGATCATTAAAGCTATAGTAGCATATAATTTACCTGATGATACCTTGTCCACTGATTTAGGTATTGAAATGCTGAGAGGACTAGAAGAAGCCCCACCAAAACAGCACGAGGATCCTGGCAATTGAAAAGTTAATACATTATTATTAAATATGATAAAGAAATGTACTAACGCTCTGTTACAATCTTCAAAGAAGAAAACAAAAATTGCAAGTTTCAACCCACCGTTTTGTGTCCATAGTAAGCATGATAATAGCGAGCAGCATTATAGAATACCTACAATACAGAGGTGAGGGGTGGGGGCATTAATATTATTGATATCAGTACAAATTCTGGTAATCTAGCTACTTCAAAAAATCTTCAAACAAGAATAAACACTTCATAGTGGTTGCATGTTCCCTGAAGAGAGAGAATGGTTTGGAAAGCAAAGAGCAAGAGCATAAGTTTATGACATCTGACATGGTTGGTGCAAATGAAAACTATAAGATGTGCACTCCTCTACTTGTTGGAAGAAAAGTTGTTCGCATTAGAAAACTCATATTCTGACCAAAAACAATGCAAGTCAGTCTTAACTAGACAAAGAGATTCTTTCTTGATTGTTCTATATATGTTTTGATCAACATACTAAGCTACTGCCTACTCAGCCAAGCTGATTTAGCAGGTATTCCAAATAGTAAATTACCTCCTCTGGGTGCTCAATTGCATAATCATATTGGCCTCTTGTAACTTCATCTTTTAAGATCTGTGAAAGAAAATGGAACATGACAAGTAAGTGTCATGAATTTCCATACAAAGAAGTCCTTGTACATATGTTATTAACTATTGCAATATAAGAACATCAAGCTTTAAGCAATTAACTAATTTCATCAAGACAGAAGTTGCCAGCTCTTTAATAGTTTGATCAGTTAGCAAGCTCAAAGGCGCCAAGACACTTTCTTTCCTCCTGGTGGATTACTTTTTTTCCCTTTTTCCTAATGGGTTATGGGTGTTCATATTGCAAACCTGAAACTAAAGACTTCTTTCTGGAGGATTTATTAAATCTGGCCATTCTGAGTTGAAGATTAAGGTGAGTTAAGATTAGTTGAATAAAAGTGAAAAAGATTGCATCACAATGGTTAAGCCTTCATGATTCCGCATATAACCAGTCCATTTATGGGGCAGGGTGTTAAGACCTAAGCAATGATTCTGAGATATAGTACCTCTACTATGTTTGGGATGCATAGCCAACAATCATATGGGTTCATTTTTAGCCTACCTCTCCTTTTGGAATTATACGTATCTTAAGCCTAGTATATCTATATGTATAAATAAAGAACACATGTGCACCGAGAACTCCTTTTCTTAACAAGGATTGCGGAGGAAAGTCTTCATTTGCAACATTTCTGCTGGATTTTGCAAAGAGATTGTTCGCAAGACTAAAACCCATGGCCTTTTGGTCACAAAAATGTACGTAAATTGTAAAGAACCTAAATAATTCATCACATCACATGCCCTATCACAAACTAGTTGTGTAGATAAAGAAACTGGTAACCATGTTCTTACCTTTTCAGCAGCTTATTCCTTTCAATTTCCAGTACTTTACATATAGCTTAACACATCAATGTATCATACAAAATTAATACATATAAAGAAAGAACAAAACTAAGATTCTTGATGTCAAACCTAGGACGATTCATTTCCAATATTGATAAAAAATCTGGATTGCCCTAGCTGTCCTAGATGCAGCACATCTCAACAAAGTTCAATGCAGTTAACAAACTATCTCCACAAATGACAAATCTGTATCACTTTTGAAGTTGATAAATAACTTATTTGACATCAAGAGCCAACTTATGGTCTTCTTTAAGAACGGAAAGAATATATCAAGTACCAAATTGCAAACAATTCAATAGAGAAGTTCAAATAAAATTGGGTACCTCATAGGCATTTGCAATTTTTACAAACAATTTTTTCGATTCGGGATCTGGGTTTTTATCCGGATGGCTGTCAAACGAAACATGAATTCAAATCAGACAACAAATTCAATCCAACTGTACATTTTGCATAATTAACAAGAAAAACTTACTGTTTCAACGAGAGCTTGTAGTAAGCTTTCTTGATTTCAGATGAATTCGAATTTTGCGAAACCCTATGGAAATCAATCAAGAAAAAGTGAGTTAAAAAAATTAAGGAAATTTATAGGTAAACAGAGAGGAGGGATGGGGGTAATGTGCTGCTAACCCGAGTAGATCGTAGCAATCATCTTCGTCACAGTAGATGGAGATTGAAGGTTGTATGAAGAAGATCACTGTAAGCAATACGACGGCGTAACAACGGAATGGCGTCGTCACCATCGTCTTCTTCACTTTGCTCCGAGAACTCAGATTTCGCCGTGAACTCCTTTTTGTCTCCGACGGAGAACGTGAAATTACATTTCTACCCTCAAACTTCGTTGAATTGATGAAGTATTTGGGCCTCACCTACTTTCCTTATTGGGCTATTCTAATTTCAGTTTTATTTGGGCCCTCCATTTAAATATTTATTAAAAATTATCGATACAATGTTTTAATATCTATGATTATTTTAATATTATATTTTAAGAATTGTTTGACAATTACTGAATGATTTGGTACAGAATGATTAAGTAGTCATAACGATTAAGAGACTATCATAATATAGTATAAAATGAAATATAATTGTTTGGTAATTGTATACAATGAAACTAGGGCTCTTAATCGTTAAGGGAGATGCAAGATACAAAATCATTCAGAGGGTTTTAGAACCATTAAGAGGCAAAAAATTTTTTTTGGCAAACAAGATTCACATCTTAACGCTTCAGAGGTTGCCTTGTAATGGAACTATTAAGAGGTAAACAAACAACCCCTTAGACTCTCTACATATATAAACTGTAAGTACAATTATAATTAAATATATATTTAAAAAAATAAATTAAACATGTTACAATGCAAAAAATATTAAATTACAGATCCAAAAATCTTGAGTTACATAATAGACATATAGACTTGGGATCACGTTAGACCAACCTATTTTCGTGAGTTCCGTGAGACCATTTTTTTACACTTGAAACTTCACAGCAAAACGTTGTAAAGGTAACATTCACAATGTTTTTGCTGTGAAGGTTTTTTTTTTTTTACCTTCACATGTGAAGTTTCAAATGTAAAAAAATGGTCTCACGACTCTCACGAAAACAGGCCGATCTCAGGTGAACATGTATATGTATATATGTATATATATATATATATATATATATATATATATATA